TTTAAGATACATTTATACCAAGTGGTCATGCCACTCATTAAAAAGTTCTTAAGAGTGTAAGAGTAAGAGTGGCACATCGAACAAGCAACTTATATAAGTAACTCTTCTAGACTTTTATACTCGAAATATCCAAACGAAATAGTTTAGCTATATTAAATTCAATTACATTTTTTTTGTTGTTGTGAGATTTTTGACAAGAAAAAATCGGTCCACGGTTTTTCGTCGGTGACTGCTTGTGCCATAAGAGTAATTGAAATTTGAACTTTTTTGGGTCATAGTTCGTACAGTGTAGTCGCAAAATTATTTGTTAGCAGAAAATGACAGAGCTTGCTGTCTCTAATAATAATGCGAACTTCGACATCTAGTACTAGTTAAATCACCTCATATATATACATACATACATACATATATAATAGAGTTCTGTAAAATGACCGTACAACTACACTGCCGCTTTCGAACTAGATTTTCCCTACAGGCTACGCGCCATGTACAATACATCCATAATGATGTGGATTAGTCAATCTGACAATTGTAGGTTTTCTCCGAACACTTTGTAACGAACGCATATAGGTATATGGTATACATATGTAGATTGATATGGAAGATGGAAGTAGGAGAATAATTGTTAAATTGATTGTATTGTTCGCTTTGAGTGCGTCAAAAATATACATACATAGGTACATGCTTATGTATGTACAGCACACAAAAATTGCTTGAGCACTGATATTCGTGACTTTCATATGCAATTATTATTAGATACATATGTACATATGTACAAATATAATATTATATATAAATATAATATAATATATAAGGTAGATTTTTTATCTTTGCGTGCATTGCATTTCCTTTAGTACCGCCTGCGAAGCGTTTAACATAAATTTTTGTTTATTCTATATATTTTATATTATTTGCAGTATATGAGACCCTCAGTATGTATGTATATATGTATGTACATATATACGTATGCTTCCTTCGTTTATTACGCGCGTAATTCAATCGTTCCAAGTAAACAAGATTTTTAGATATTTGCATGGTTTGCAATTTAGTCTACATACACACATATGTCCTTATGTACAATCATATAAACAAACAGCGTGTGAATACGAGTATATCAACTGGCAAAAAGCGTTGATTCAGACAAATAAGTAAAATCTGTTGCTCTTCTTTTGCCTTAAACAAAATTTTTATGTACATAAATATATAAATTTGTTTTGCCGCTTCTATTTTATTTTTATGTATATATATATTTTTTTTTTGCAATATACTTATTTTGTACTTCACTGTTGGCTGTTTTTAGCTCCCAAAATGTTTAATGTGAATTTACTATATACATATATATTATATATTTCAATTCTCTCATTCCACTTTTCTAAAACAAAAAAGAGTTGAACTAGCAAGTTGAAAAAATTTTTTTACGTTGATCGTTGATTTATAATTACACCCTGAAGTTTGTAAGTTTGTCTGTATTTTTCCTCAAAGCGAACGATCAAAATCAAGCTCTTGTATGAAAAACTTTTATATTTGACAACATATCTTCACGAAATTTGACAAGTATTATTTTCCAAAGCAACGGGGCAATTTTCGAACAATTTTTGCAAAGTTTGATTACATTAATTTGTTTATTTGAAATTAGTTATTATTATTATTATAGCCCATATTTTTATTGGTGACGTGGTGTGTTTTACTACAATAGTTTAGTAAATGCGATTATCGCAATTGTTGTTGCAATTTTGTATTTAGAAAATTACAAAGGAACTCCACTCTTATTTTCAACTTACGCATATACATACTTATGCATACACATATATTTTATTGTTATAGTTCATTCCCATATTTTTTTACTTGCTTCTACTTGAACAGTCTTTCATATCGCAATTAAAAGTAATCAACAGACATTACAGGGCTTTAACTAAAACGAAATTAATAAATAGTTCGACCGAATCTAAGTTAATAGAAATATAAGTTGGTGCAAAGTGTTAAACAAAGCGTTTAATTGGACTCTTTAACATAAATATATAGTTGTTGCAGCATTTGTAGGCAAATAATATTTTGTAAAATGCTGCCAAGTACTATATACTGTATTTGGCTATATACATATGTATGTATTAACGCAGTTCTGTTCAGGTTATATAGACCTTATATAACAAGCGAACGTATAGATTCAAAAATCCTAGAAATCTATTACCTATTTTCTTGAAGTTTGTTTTCAAACTCCGCTTATGTAACGGCACAGAATAAAATAGAATCATTAAAAAAAAAACCAATCTAAGGATTGTAATGAACGGACATGTGTCAACACATTCTGTCAACGAAACTCAAATAACGTATTCATTGAAGCCTCACGAGGTATTTACCAAAAATCGATTAAACAGATGAAATACCCTTCACAGGTGCGTTTATAATAGCATAAAGAGTATAACAATCTCTTTATCTTGATTTTGATCGTTCAGTTCGTATGGCAGCTATATGCTATAGTGATTCAATCTGAACAATATATTCGGACATTGTACCGTTACTTTGTACAATAACCTGCGCAAAATTTTGTGAAGATATCTAGTGAAATACATCTAGTGAAGTTTTCCATACAAAGACTGGTTTTTGATCGATCAGTTTATATGACAGCTATATGCTATAGTGGTCCGATATGTGATGAGCAGCTCCTTGAAGAGATCCGAGGTTTCCATCAGGGTGTACCAAACTTTCTGGCAAACTTAATATGCTCTGTTCAGGTTATACAAATAAATCAAATGCTACCTTTTTTCACTTAACAAATTCAATATTATTTATTTTATTATTATTGTTTTAACCCGGGTTGCAAACCGGTTCGGAACTAAAACGTTTTTTACTTTTTACTGGGCTTGAATATTTTTTTTTGTAAATATTTTTGAAATGAGTGTAAATCCAGTACACAAAAACTTTTATTTTGACAAAAATTATTATATAAATGAGTGATTACATTGCAAATTTAAAATTAAATTAAATGGAAGGAAAACATACAGCTAATTGGGCGAGACACATACAAAGAAAGCACGCCGACGTTTCAGAGATCGTTGGCGAAATTTCGAAGAAGAAATTTCAGCAGCACTCTACATAAAAATTTCTTTCATTGAAAGTTTACATTTTGTCATGCTACATACATATGTATAATACATATGTATTTGTATATAATAATAACTATTGGTATCTTCCATACTAGGTTTTGTAACTAACGCTAAAAAGTTTTAATAAATATTTTACACGAATTTGATCCCGATTACGAAGGCTTTTATTTTCGTACATACATACATATATATATACGTATGGGTTTCTCATATCAATTAGTATAAACAACTGAACTATTTGCACCGAACCGAACCGCGGTTCAGAGATACTCGTAAACCGGTTCTTGAAACGGTATAAGTATTTTCTGAGTGGTTCGAAACACAGAACCGAACCGCTTCGATTTTTGTAGTGGTTTATAGCCCTGGTTTTAACGGCATTATGGAACGATTTTTCTTATCATTCTATATGCAAAAGCTTATTTTAATTAAGCTTAATTTTATTCTCTGTTTCTAACAAAAAAAAAAAAGTTATATAAGTATAGACATATTACTCACTATTGATCTACCACAACACTTTTCCTTAGAAACGTTTTATATAAAATAAAATAAATATATGCCGAGCACATAAAACGCAATTATCAGCGTGAATGAATCACTTTTCTTACTTACAGGAATGGATTTGCTGACAAATCTCACATTTGGACAATCACGCTATTGGAATTTGAATTGAAATTCACTCATTGTGATTTAAATTTATTTACACTTTCATCCAAAAAATATGTGCTGATAATGAAAAACGATTTTTTCAAAAACCAATTCAGAGCTTATAAAGAGCACAGAATAAATTTTTAGTAGAGTTTTTGTAACGTTTATTTAATTTAATATATGTACATATGTATGTTCCCTTTACTTATTATGCTAAACTAGCTACAACATTGTTGCTCATTATCCGCACAGAATTTTATCACAATTTTATATTTTATGCACACACTTCTACGCAGTTTTTTACTAGCTTATGTAGATAAATGTAATAAATAAGTATTTATTTACTGGGTATATCCAATATTTGGCTCCGAGCTGCCGGCTGCTGATGATGATGTCACCATAGAAGAAAGATATTCGGGTATTTTTTAAAAATGTTATGAGTTTTGGTAGATTTGACGGATTTCTTGAAATGTTCGCACAAACAACTCCGCTAATTTTTTAAGCAAACAATAAAAAACATCACCGAAGCGCAACTATCGTTAAGTTTATTATATTTATATGTTTATACTTGTATGTACATATAATATAATATATATATTTGTAAACACACATTTATACACACACACATTTCATTCAAAACTCAGCCGGTTTGTCTTCACGTACATTTGTAGGTACGTATGTATGTACATACTTCCAAAAATATGGAAAAGCGGACGGCAAAGCAGTACACGTAGCAACATAGAAAATAAAGTCGGCCTTAAGCTAGTTATCAGCTGCTATTATTTTAATTTGAATATATGAGTTCCGGCAAAATGATCATATATGCCATTTTTGGTTTTTGATTTTTAAATATTACATATAAAAAAAGACATAAAAAAAAAAATTAATTAAAATGAAAAAAATATTACAAAAAAAAATAAAAATTTAAAAAACAAAAAAATTTGTTTTTTCAAGTAAAAAAAAACTATATCAGAAAATAACAAAGAACAGGATAAACGTAGCCAGAAAAAACATAGACTTTCGTTAACTGAAGCTACCCTTCCCATATACAAAAGCCAACATACAAGAATTTGATTTTGATCGTTGAGTTTGTATGGTTGTTTGATCTGGAATAATCAGTTGTCAATAAGATATAACCGTGTCTGTCAATTGCTTGTTAAAAATATTATGAATCGCTTTTGAATATATGTATTTTGTGTAGAATTTCTATGTTTGGTAACTATAAATACATGTATTTACACAGGTACTTACCACAACTACAGTGTTGAATGCAAACAGCACATATTTAGCCGTCGATGTGCCACAATCCATTGTGGTAACTTTAGCGTTATATCTTTCTTCGAAACAAACTATTATAAGTTAATCTGAAACAGAGGACATTAATAATTTAATGAGTGTTAGAATACATATTCAGTTGTGAGATTTCAAGTACCTAAGATTATTTAAAGCCACTTTGCAGTTCCTTATAAAAAGAATGAATATATCTAACAACAAAAATTGTAATTAAAATATGAAAATATAATTTTTAATCAAAAAATTCGAAACCCTTGTTGTACACATTCTAATTTTGTGTATAAAATTTAGATTTTTATTTTAAAAAAATTTAATAAAAAAATTTGAAAATAAAAATTTAAAAGCTAATTTGTTCTATTATTTAATTCATTATATTAAATTATAAATTTTTAATTCCGATGTTGAGATTGAAAACAAAACTTTTATAATAAAATTGTTAAATTAAAATTTTTTAAATACAAATATAATATTTTTATAAATTAAATCCAATTCTAGTTCAAAATGGTAAAATACGATGTATGCAAAAGCGAAAAAATGTTAATTCTAAAACAATTTTTTTTTAATTCGTAATAATATGCGTGTTATTAATTTTGTTTCAATCGAGTATTTGGGATTTAAAAATTAAAATTAATTTTGATCCGGTTTTTGGGATTAAAATTTATTTTAGTTAAATCCGTAATCGTTTTAAATTTTTTTTCCATCCGGTATTGGAGAGTAAAAATTTCAAAATTATTTTGGATTTAGATTTTCTGAATTGCAAAAAATAAAATAAAAATTAGTTCAAATGTTAATTCAATTTTTTTTTTAATGCATTATTTGCAACTCCGGAAACAGCACACGGAAGTGCTTAATAATAATTCTATAGATCTTCAATACTCTTTGCTTAATACGAATATATGGTAATACGAATATAATGCATATTTATTACAGCATGCCGTAACTATTGTAATAGTTAAGTTTTTTTAAGCTGACATTCTCATCATGATAAAATAAAAATAATAATTTATTGTATATTATAGATAAAAACAAAACATATCTTATTTGTACGTAACTTCGTTGCTTCAATAGGTTTATACATAAACTGTATGTCTTGACTGTTGTTGACTTAATTCTAACTCAGATGACTAGCTAACAAAATAAGTTATTTTAAACTTTTTTTTATCTACAGCTGTTACTGAAAGGAAGTACACACATGACTTCCAAGAAATTATATGCAATCTTCCGATGATTCATCGGACTATATAACTAAATACAGCACATACTACTGCTATGACATTTCATATCATTATGTATAAATATCTTTAAGTACATGTCAATGTGATTTAAGTTGCATCACAACCACATGAATTATTATTTATGTGATATGTTACAGATTCATGTGGCAAAAAACTCCGCACCAACCATAAAATGTATATGTATGTACATACAGTATTGTAGCTTCACGCTTTATTCATTTTCGCAAAACCGGTATAACTTGCTGCCGCACAACCTTGATATATTAATTTGTAGGTATGTACAAACATATATGCACATACACACATACCATAGGTAGGTTTCCTATTTGAAATGGTAAATACTTTTTAACAAAACTGCTCTTCAGATTTCATGAGTTCTTGTTGATATTCTTTCGGTCGATTTTTAAATTGTTATAAAAATTGCATATTTGTGCATATTACTATTTATATTGTTAAGTATATTGGCGAACTTCAAGTGAATATGGTCACTGGCAATCACTTAATACGCACATGAATGCAACACAGCCCAACGTCCTATGGTCCTATGCTACCATTGAGTATTTACTTGCATACATACTATACAGCTCTTTATATTTTTCTCTTCAATTATTGTGGCCTTGTGCTGTCTCTCACTTACATCACTTTACACAGCGATGCACTAAATCTTCTCATGCGTTCATTGACACTTGTTTTTTAATAAAGGCGCATGTATGCATTTTCCTTTGTTTTGGCTTAATCCTTTGTCTCATATATAAAGTACCTACGTGATTTTGCACATCTAGCATATCTATCGGATTCAATTTCATTTATTATTATATTTATCTTTACAGTTTATATAAATAAACAATGTCCTCCTATTTACGATCATGCATATTTTTCTCAATAATTAATGTCACAATAATTAAAATATAACTTTATTGAAAATACATTTTGCATTTTTATGCACATTGTATCAATTACGCCGCAGTTTCACACTGCGATTGGGTTGGAGAACCCAGCATCCTGCGCAGTTTTTCTCCCATTTATTGCTTCCACCGCCTTTATATTTATTCAACATATCAAAAATTGTTACAGTCACTACACACTAGGACTCGATTGGTAATTTAACAGTAAATGTACATAATATTACATATATACCATATATTATTTACACTTATTTAATTAAGTAAAAATGATTTCACTCATTATACCTTTCAACACAACTATTGTTGCTTTTCAATTCACTTTGATAAAATATTTAAACAACAGCACACGTATACGCAACCAACCAACAACAAATTATACCAATCACTTCTACTTTCAAAATTTGAATGACAATGTGGTGCCATCCAAAACCAATTCCTGCTATCATGGAGGCAAATGCACGCAAAATACGAGTACTGCCAAGTTACACATTGTGCTTGTGGGTAAACACTGCGAACAGCAGGGTTGCATACTATTTATTAACTTTTTATAACAATCTTCCACTCGTTCCAATAGAAAAAAATAATTAATAAATTATTTTCGTAAAAATTTCAAATCCACTATTTAATTTAATAAAGAAATATCATTTCCATTTACTTTAAGCAAAGAATAGATGGAATAGCACTATTAATAACCGAACTTTGACCTCTTAAAAACCTCTATGAAGGAGCAACAAAAACCTCTATAAGTGACAGCCGTATTTCCCACTTTGACCTCTATAACTGAGAGCCTCTTTTGTATTTACCTCTATAAGCGACAATTTTTAGATGTACGACTCATTCGTTGTTCGGAACTATGTTGTTTTCTTTTAATTCAAAGACATAATATTTAACTGTATTAACTTATTTTTCATGCTCACTGCAATTCATAAATATCATTTGCAACAACAACTTATAATGTCTAAACGAAAAATCAACGTGTTGTCGTTTTACTATATATACTATATATAATTTACATTCTTTGCTCCAACTGTTATGTATCCATAACAACTGGCAAAACTTTAAAGCAGACTAATTTTATAACAGTGCTGCCCTAAATTTACCATTTGTGGAATCTAAATAAAGTGTCATATGTATTGAAAGAGTTTAGTTTTCGTCGGGGCTTCCGCTTCCTCACAAATTTGTTAAGTTTTATTTAATCGTTTTGAATTCAAATCATTATAACAAAATCTTATAGCATAAACCGATTTCATATACTTTTCATAAAAGCTAAATAGTTACTTCTTAGATGCAAAATATTTGATAGTTTTATTGGTGACAAGCAAACTGTAATCGCTGCCAAGCTAAGACTTGCAAACACAACATTACAAATAACCTCCATTTTGTAATTAGTAGTTTGCTCTCCTTTGACTGTTACGCACTTGATTCGCTAAGCAGCAGGCGAAAATAAATGCCACTAACTGAAAATAAATATAGTAAAATTACGGTTTAAGTTCAGTAATTAAATTAAGAATGCAAAGTGTCTTTAAACGACTCACTTCAATAGCTGCGACTCCGAGGCCAGCATAACGTACAATATTTATGCTTTTATCCCAAAATGAATGGAAAGCTTCCTCGCAACCAGGTCTCTTTATAGCATCTAACATATTACAAGACGCGGCGTTTGTGCCACAACAGGAATTGGGGACTGACTCGAGATTTAAGGTGTAATCAGTTGCGCCATCTACGCCACAACAGTTAAACTAAATGAAAGAAATATTTTTATTATTAGTTTCCAATGTACTTCTGGTTAAGCACTAACCGATTAGTGAGCAACTAACCAATTAGTGAAAAACTTACCGTCAATTGCAAAGCGTCCATTACTTTTTGATCTGTTTTGTGTTGCTTCCAAATTGATTCCACAATTTGATCTACATAATTGAGAAATTTGGCACGTTGTGTCCAAACAAGTATCACCAGAGCAATCTGAACCAGCAAGAGGACGAGCATAATGACGGAGTACTACAAGATGAAGACGTATGTACGTAAGTAGTAATATTCATTTATAAAAATGTATATGTACATATGTGTACATCTACATATATATATGCTCGTAATTATTTGACTTACCGTCATTGTGCAACAAGTATTCTCGCGTATTGCACCGCAGCAACCCAAAAACGAAATAATGAATATCACACATCCCAGTATAAGAATTGCTATGGGGACGCTGTTAGCTTCAAACGTTTGCGCAATGCTACCCACTTGCTGTACGTGTGATACTAATATGGAACCGAAGACAATTAGCAATATACCGCATACCTGTAGATATGTATTTGATTAATTATCATAAGTACAAAATAATGTTTTTATGAAGATTATTCAACAAAATTAGTCAAATTTAGTTTAAGCGAAGTTAGATTCCCGCATCGCTTAAGGGGTTATATCCACTTGCATGTCAGAAAAACCGCGTTTTTTATGAATTTTTTTGAAAAAGCATTTAGATTAATTAAAAAAGAATTTAATGTACTTTAATAATTGGCGATTCAGTTTGAAAAATTTGCATTCCTTTGATCCCGTAGCCAATCTCCAGGAGAAAGATTTTTCTGCATTTACATTTCAGGTTGTCTAAGGTATTATCAAAAAAATTATTCCTTCGATCATTAACTGATAAATATATCTGAGATAGTCGTGTCAAAAGTTCAAGTCGATGGGTCGAACCCACTAAGAGAAATTTTCCTTATTCCTTTCGGAGGATATTCTGTAATATGTGTGCTTTCGAAATATGCAGAAACAAAAAAAAAACGAGTTTGAAAAATCACAAGGTGATATAACTCCTTAAGGTACAAATAACCTCTCAAAAATTTACATATCTTTTATTGACAAAAAGTACCCCACTCTTTCAATGAAAAATGTACCAAACAACAGTAAGAACATTTGTAATTCACAAACTGATAACGGGTTGGTTATACAAAATCATGACGTCATAGGCATTATGTCTCAATTATTTTATAGTAAAAGGGTATGCGCTATCGTTATTTGATATAAATAGAAGAAAAAATTCAAGAATACAGGGTGGTCAATGTAAAATTTTAACTGCTGTGATGAGTTTATTGATAACGATATCAGTAAGAAATGCAATTGTTTTTTTATGTCGCTTATATATTAGCAGCAGCAAGTACAAAGTAAACAAATTTATTTATACTTCACACATGGGCACTTAATTTTAATGTCCTGCACTGAGTATGTTAAGTATGTCACAAAGTTTGTAACGCCCAGAAGGAAACATCGGATACCCCTGTCTGTATATACGCGAACTAGTCCCTCAGTTTTTGAGATATCGCTCTGAAATTTTGCACACGCTCTGTTTTCCTCAAGAAGCTGCTCATTTGTTGAAACCGGCGATATCGAATAACCATAGCATAAACAAATCTGATCGAACAAAATCAAGACCTTGTATGAAAAACTGTTTTATTTCACGAGATTTCTTCACGTAATTTGGCATGGATTATTGTTCAAGAGAATTATAAAATATACAAATACATTTTTCATATCATAACTGTCATAAAAAATAAACGACCAAAATCAAGTTCTTGTATGGATAATTTTTTTATTTGTGGAGGATTTTATAGCCTCGGTATAACCGTAGTTAACGCGTTTTATGTAAACAAAACAAAAAAAAGGCCTCAGCGCCAAAAAAAAAATAGTTTCAATTAATTTTTGTGTAAATTTGTCGGCATTGGTGATAAGATAGAGAGGCTTTACTATCGATAAAGCGAAACAGCTTTATATTATATTATGTAGATAAAAGACTTCTGCTTTGTGACACTGTTTACCAAAGACAAATGTTTGAAAGCTTGTACTTAGAACTTAAATATTAATTATTTTCTTCCTTTTATCTCGTTTTCGTGTAATCACTTACTACAAAAATAAATTAACTTATAAAATGGGCTGCAACTAATTTGCAAACTGCGTTAGCACACCATGACTCAATATTTAGGAACTGCAAATTCGATTTCTATGACTAACATTGCTAACGTTGTCTAACTATTTAAACCGTTATTGAGTGCTTGCGTGATATAAAAAAATGTTATTATCATTTTGAGGTTATATTTTCTTGTCTTTACTTACTACGAAGAGTATGTTGAATAAGAAGAGCACATATTTCACTAAAACTCCACCGCAATCCATATTTTCGTGTAATAAACTTTTTTCCTTCCTTCCTCTATATTTTCTTTATTTATTTATAACTGTAATGCGAATATTGCTACGTTTTCTAGCAGACCTCAACCGTATTACTGCCATTTGCTATCTAATAGTATATTTTATATAGTGCACAATTTTTCCAGGCCACAAAGCCTTATCGCTATTAGCTCATTAAGCCTTCTTCCATTGGAACGGTTGTTGTACAAAAATGTGTAGCATATTTTTGGGAGATAAAAACTGTTGAATACGAAATAGGCAATGATATTCTTAAATTACTTACTTTTCATTGACTTTTAAAATTTCCAGTACTCGATATTTTTGAGCTTAATAGCTCTATAAGTGGGTCGGTTACACAAATCAGCCGGGCTACTCGAACATGTTTTCGATATACATACATATATATAGTCCAAGGAGACTGCTGTAACTTATTATTTTATTTTATCTATAAAAAGTTAGTTCCTAAACTTAATATCTGATTTATAAGTGAGAAAAAATTCATTGATTCAGTGAAGCGGTTACTTTAAAACCATTTTTTTAGTGGGGATGTTTGCTAGTCCGGTAACTCTTAAAGTATTTTTCCGTTTCCATTTTTAAAACTTAAAAGAGTGACTGACCCCCGAAATTATTTAGCAATTCAGAATATATGTTTTAAGGAAAGGAACGGGATAAAATGTTTTTAGTATCAGACGAAGACTTCTTCGGGGAAAAACAGCTTATTTAAAAATATGCCTACAAGTCCCAAATCCAAAACAGGGCACCGAGTGAGTACCCCCAGGCAAAAAGTGAGTTTTATTTTATCAATGCTCCAACGTAAAATATTATAACTAGTGATGAACCGTATTCGAAAAAGAGCGACCGGAACAAATGGTAGTTAGAAGGGGCAAGATCTGGATCTATAAAAGACGGTTGTGGCAAAACTTTCCAACCAGCCAGGTTAATTTTTAACCGGTCTTGCAACATGATCTCGAGTGTTGCCATGATGAAAAATTATAGCTTCGTGTCCAGTCTCTAATTCTGAGCGTTATTCATCAATCTCTTGTTACAATTTATGAGTTATGAGTTCATGTCGGTAGCGTTCCTCGTTAATGATTTCACTCAGTTTTATAAGCTCATAATACATCACGCTCTTCCGGTCACACCAAATACCCAACATTACCTTGGAGTCATGAATATTCGGCTTTGCCATTGATTTGGCTCTTTGTTCCACATGTGATCTTTTGCTTTTAAGGTTGTCCATAATGGCTCTATTTTTCATTACCAGTTACAATACGATGCAAAACGACTTCAATTTCCTTGCTTTTGATTATATCCGGCTGCTTTAAAACCTTTTAAAATATGGCTGTTTAGTGACTCCCAAAGATTCTACGAGCGCTTCTTGTGTTTGACAACAGTTTTCATTAACTAATGCTACTAGTTCCTCATCTTCAAACTTTTTTGGTCGCCCAGGACGTCTTTCGTTTACCAAGTCAAAATAAACACTTTTAAATCATCCAAACCCCATTTTTCACGTTGGCTCAGCTAGAGCATGTTCACCATAAACTTATACTAAAATTGCTGATGTGGTTTTCTTCATATTAAAATAATGAAGAAGAACTCCCCGCACAAACATATTTGAGTTAAAAAAATTATTGTTGCTTACGCTTCAAATGAATGACATATTCTTGAAAGGGTGCACCTGGACAATAGCTTTCCAACGCAGCTTCGGAATTTTGGAAGAATATAATAATAATCAAGCTACGCCAACTGTTGGCGGGCATAGTTGTAGAACCAATATTTCGGGATTTATTTTTTGACAGATTTTCGAAAATTTTCATTACGAGTGAATTTGTTGTAATTTATTTAAAATATTATAACTATACTACTAAATGTATTATAAATAAAAGTTTATTTCCAAAAATCAAAAGTAAAATATTCTTCACTTAAAACAAATTTCATTTTTTAAGCTACGGAACAATTAAAATATATAATTAACTATAAATATTGAGCCAGTTCTCTAAGCCATATTTCTTCGCTCCGCTTTTCGGACGCATCCCGCCAAACCACAACCAGATATCAAAGCCAAAAATTCTATAACAACCACCACAATGCCACCAATCCGCACATAACCCAAATTATCGTACCAGAAGTTATAAAACACCGTTTGGCAACCCGATTTAGTAGTATAAATGACCGCTGGACACGGAGCATCCGTTTCCACAAAACCACAGCAAGACGGTGGTACGGCGCTACTATAATCAGTGTAATTGTTGTAGCCACAGCAGCTGAACTATAATTCAAAGAGAAAAAATAAAAAGATTGTTAAAAGTTTAATAAAACAAACTTTCGCGAACATATATGCGACTTACTGTAATCTGTATTATATTCATAGGGTTGTCAGCATCATCATTTCTATTTTCAAACGCATTATGAACAATCGTATTCATAGAGTTGAGGAAATCTGTCTTCTCCACGAAAGCCCAAACGACAAGTGCAATCTGCAGACACATCAGTATGAACATAAAAAGCGAGTACTGCAGAAGTTTGAAGAAAACAGAAAAGGTTTATTATCGAAGAATGTAAAAATAATTAAGGATGTGTATATATCTTTCAGACTTACTAATAGGATACACCAATTGATCTCCCTAAGTGCGCCGCAGCAGCCAAAGAAGGACACAACAAATATGACAGCACCCAGTACTATCACAATAATGGGTACGACATTGACATAATTGATATTGCTATCCGATTTTAGATCACCCATGCCATCCAGAACAAGACTGCCGAGTATGATGAGTAGGATGCCAACTATCTGAAAATTAATTTTAATTCGAATTACTCGAACATATACGAAGTCGCCGAAGTAAAAATATCAAGCAACTTATGTATGATTACCATTTGCTGGATATAGATATGAATTTTAAATAGCTTTAAGACTGATTCTGTACCAGAAAATAAGTTCCCACAGCGTATAAGACTTGTATATATTATAGTTTAATAAAATTGCTTTAAGGCAAATAGTATTATTTGACAGTTCTCAGCTCGAAATAAGTATTATCAATGCTTCTGGATTCGAAATCCGTTAGAGATTTGAAAGAAGAGAGATGGAAAATATCTTGTGAAATAAATATAGAGAGGAGCTAAAATAACCAGACTTGTTTTGGCTTTTGGTTTCTGAAACATCAAATTTTTACAACAAACACATTATTTTACCAGATTAGAGAAAAAATATAATCCATAAAATAAAATCGGCTGTTTGGGTCCAAGAAAATGGAGTAAATCCAAAACAAAAAGGTGTGGTCCAGAAATCGGGTTTCTGCTAAAGAGGTCAACGAGAAATATATAAAAACTCATAATAACAAAATATTGTCGAAGTTGTGTAATCATATAGAAAATATGCATCAGACTCTAGGCTGTTGAATAGAATGATAATTGAAAGACACCTTACATATGCTAATAGCTTTATCAACAAAACAACCATAATGGGTTTTAGACTGAATGTTTCCGATTAAAAATAGAAGAAAGCCACATGTTAGAAGTACAAAGTAGCATTTCATATGCGTTACTTATTGGTCTCGACCTACTAAAACTCTTAGATCTATTGTGCAAAATCAGACCAGAACTAGACATAGAATAAATGTCGATGTCACAAGAGCATTCCGGGATATGAAATAGCTCCTCGGACTGCCTAAAATGCCATCCGCTAGGACTAGATGAAGCCAGTATAATCTAACCTAACCTACATTTATCATGAAGTGGTAATTTTTTGCTATTACTAGTATTGTTAGTGCTAAAAAGGCGTTTCAGAAACTTGTATTAGTTTTTAAATTAGTTCAAGTGAATTTTTTGATTATCGAACATAGGTACGTATTTAAATGGAAGAGTGTAGTTAAAATCGAATGAATCATTTCGTTCTGAAGTCGTACCCAATATATACCTATAATATATTCATTGCGAATATCTATTTCAATCACGAAAAGTGCAAATGATGTGTCAAAAGTAATTACAGTCATCCATATTGTTATCGCAATTCCGGACAGAGCTGATATTATTTTATATACATATAGCATATATAAGCATGTATATACATATGTACAGAATTTTGGCAAGGTATAGTGAAATTTGTAGACTCAGATTTTTTTTTTTTAATTTTTAGGCGTGAACTCGAAAGTTTCCAACGTTGATTGGAATTTTTTCGATTGACATGTGTTGTGCACAAAGTTTTATATAAGAAAAGACATAGGCGTAAAGTAAAAAAAAAAAAGATAAAAATGTTTTCTGTACTGCTGACTCTAAGTTGGCGCCTTTACGGAGCACACCTATGGTAACCGCCTGAATAAAGCGATTTTTACGAATTAAAAAAAAATATTGCCTGAAATGGTTTAAAATTTTGAAGGAATATTTATACATATTTTATAAATAATTTCAGGCAATTGTTGCTATTTCCCAAGTTTCTAAAAAAAAGGTCCTAAAATGCTGTAGTGATTGTGGCCTTCACCATGGTTGAAACAAAAATATTAATAATTAATTTGCAAGGTATTACCTATACAATGACCTACAATTACCCATAAAATTTAACAAAATGACAGACTTCGAAAAATTGCTGAATTTTTTAGATGATTTTTGGCACGCCAAAATTACATTTTCCATACAATCGAACAATCGTTTGGCTCCCAACAATGATTATGACTAGAACGTTGCGATCTGATTGCTCAAATATCGCTTTAATAGCAAAAGAAAACCGCTTTGTCCATCAGTAACCCTAAATTTCAATAAATCACCAAGGACTTAAATTGATTTTTCGTCTAAATTCAGTTATATGTTAACAATAGTAGATTCTAATTTTAGTGGTACTAAAAACTGTCCAATCGCCACTGCCTAAACTCAAAATTTATTTTTATTCTTCAAAACTTTAAAATTACGTTTTAAAGATTTCTTTGAAATATAGAAAATCTAACTATCATTAGCATCATAATAGCTTTTTTCGTTTTTGAACAGCGTTAACCTTCTTAATAAAAATTTAGCAGTTTTTTGTAAAAAAAAACAACAAACAGTAAGATCATGCAAGTGAAGTTCAGTCTATGCTAGTCCTTGTTAAGCACCTTCAACGACCAACACGAAGCACTGTAATCCAATAATCAGTTCGTAAATTTGATTGTCAACAATCTTTGTTGTTTTCGATATCTTATTTTCGAAATCTTTTTATTTTTTCACACATCTTGAATTGAAGCCCACTACTTTGGCATGACCTGTTTTTTGATTTCCAAATATTTTCACATCACATACATACAAGCTTGTATAAGGATATATTCAGCTTACCACTGCGAGCAGATTAAAAAAATATAGCAGCCATTTTATGAGAAATTCGCACCAACCCATTTTTTAATGTTTTTGGTTTCTAATTTTTGTTATTTAATTATGTTTATTAGTATATCTATTTTTTATTTATATAATTTTTTATTGCACAACTATTCGTAGTTTTGGAAAATATTTAATTGGTGTGCTTTTCAAAACCAATTTCGTTTGATCGCGTAACTTTCGTTCGAGTTCGAATGACTGAACCCTTGGCCGAATTGTTGCTTTTTAATAAAATTAATTATAATAATTTTTTGTTGTGGCTACAAAAGATATCAAAAAATCACTACGTACTTATCTTTGATTATTTTTTCATGCATTAATCGACTAGATAAATATGACACAGGTGTATCTATTGTACCACACATCCATGTAAAAATGTGTGTCATATGTAAATACATACAAAATTTATACAATTCGTATATTGTGCAGGGCTCAAAGTATTTTGGCCCATCGATAATATATGAGGGATACAGTGCAACCTCGCTTATTAGAACTACTAACAGTTTTGGTAGCAGGCTTTCCGTTTTTTGGAACTACATGCGAAATTTTAAGCAACTACAGATTACTTCCATTTGCTTCTTCTCTGCTTGCTTTGTGTTAATTCGGTTCTCTCATAAAAAAGTTACACATGAAGCACCAGAAAAGGTACACTATTGAATTCAATAAAAGAGATTATGTCAAGAGCTCATTAAAGTGGTAAAAAAAGTGTTCTATTCTACAGGTTAGTTGAAAAGTTTCTGCGCTCGAAATGAAAAAATACGGTTTTTGGTTCTAAATATATTTTTTTATTCAATATAATCTCCCTTAACTTCAATACACTTATTCCAATGATCCTCCAATAATTTTATGCCATCCCTATAATGACTTTCAGGAAGCTATGCAAAATACCCATCTACGGCTGTAATAGCTTCTTCATTCGACGAAAAACGCTTTCCACGAAGGAATTGTTTCAGGTTTCTAAAGAGGTCGTAGTCGCTGAGAGCCAAATCTGGTGAATACGGTGTATGCTCAAGTAATTCGTACTTTAATTCGTTGATTTTCTCTCAAAATTCTTTTGCGTCCCAAAAAACTGATGCCGTACCCTTCGTTGCTGATCGTTGTGACTTCACCTGCTTTGGAGCTGAATAACCAGCTTCAGTCCACTGTAAACGTTCTTATTTCAATTTATGATTATGGTGGTAGATCCAAGTCTCATCCATATTTATAAAACGACGTAATAAATCGAGTTTCTTCTGCTTAAAACGCTCCCAAGAAATTTATTTTCGATCCAGATTATGTAGAATTGTTAACGTGTGCGGCACTAGCTTTCTAAACAGCTTAATCATATGTAATTCTCCATGTAAAATATGAAGTACTCGTTCGTCTGAGATGCCTATGGCATTCGCAATTTCACACTTAGTCAAACTAACTTATCTACAGTGCTGTCCAGGAGCTATTGAAAATGCGGAGCATATTTAGTAGTGCCTAGCGGCGGTTCCGGGGGGGATATGAGGCCGCAAGAAATGGGCGGTTTTAGTCGGTATTAACATTAGCAAGTCACCAGGCTTATGTTCAAATCCGACATACTCAGAGCGAAACACCAAAACCTGCCATATGTAAATGTATTTCCTCCTCTATGAAAAAAAAAAAAACTTAGTCAAACTTGGAACTTGCTCAAAGATTTCTGGTGTGGGTGCGGTTTTTAGTCGTCCTTCGCGTGAATCGTCTTAAAGCCTAATACGACCATGTTTAAACGGTGTGTTTTGAAGGTGAGGACTACACTTCTAACAATTTCTCATAAATTTCCTTTGCTTTTAAACCTTTCAAAACAAGGAACCTAATCACTGCGATATACAATTTATTTCCACATTAAAAAAATACTCTGATACGTCAACTTCAAATGGCTTGAAAACAAAGAATTAATTGACTTTGCATGTGTTCTCACGACAGATGTACTAACTTGAGGAAAAAAAATTTGGAGTTATTAGTGCTACTTCTTAGTCAGCACTATTCACTTCTCAACCAACCTGTATCTCTCTTTTAAAATGCCTTTGCATTTTCACAGTTTTTTGTTCAATTTGGTTATAACATAATTTTAGATAATGGCTTTTACAAAGCACCCGAAACACAATAGTAGATCGGCAAGATTTTAGCCAATGTTTATTGTGCCTAATTTGCAACTATAGCTCGCCTCCTCAATCATCTCGCACAATTTCTCTATTTTATTGTCGAACTCAACCGCTTAGGTCAGTATGAACCTACGCCAATTCGGCGCTTCATTACATTTCCAATAAAAATAACTAAAGCGATGAAATAAACAAGTCTGGCTTTCAATTTGTTTAATTTGTATGTATTCATAATAAATAAAACGAGTCAACAAATATTAAAACATATTAATAATAATTGATTAACAATATAAAATACCTAACTAAGTTTACTTAACTTATGCAATGCCTTGTGTATACGCTAATACACGTACATACACGTACATAAGTTACATGATTCACAATTATTATTTGTACTTCAAATAAAATGAATTCAATGTACAATATATTGATGTAATTTATTTACAAAACCGCATGCTCTACACACACTCAGTTTCTTCCGCGTATTTAATGTCTTCGCGAATTACGCATGCTGCTTGCTAGGCAACAGGCTATTGTGAGTACCGCCAATTCAATGGCCGCAACTGCAATGCCCGCGTAACGGATAATATTCGTATTTGTCGCCCAGAATCCAACGAATTCAGCAGTACAGCCTGGCTTAGTCTGATAGACATCTGCGGGACACTCCTTAATGTCGAGAGAGCCACAGCATGAAACTGGCACATCTTTGTCCGCAGTTATATAATCGGTATAATTGCTCTTTCCACAGCACTTGAACTAATTTTGAAAAGTAGAAATTAAATTAGTTTCAACTTATATTCGTAAAAAATTAGAAATATAGCATGCTTACGCTAAGTTGTAACGCGTCCATTGGGTAACCTTTAGCGGAATCATTCTGATTCCATGCTGTACCAACGAGATCTGTCATAGTTTTCAAGAAATCGTCACGTTTCATAAATACCCAGACTACTAAAGCAACTTGTAGACAGAACAGAATGAACATGAAGACGGCGTACTGAGGGGAATAGAAAAGGGTTAATAATATTTAATACAGAAAGAATTAATTTCATATAGATATCAGAGCGAATATAGAAGAAAGCTAAATAATTTTGTAATCCAACTTGATTAGCTCGGACCGGTTGATTTTACTTGCTTACATTAGGGTAATGCCTTACGGCACTATTGCTATTTCGTACCCCATTTGATTCCTTGAGGTCAATGAATTTAAGAAATATTAAAAAGATATGAGGAACAAGAAAAAACGTTAAATTCGACGGCACCGATGCTGTAACACCTACATAACTGAGAGAGTTTTGTTATAGCATAAAAGCGTATGAAAAATCTTTATTTTGACTTTCAGCGATCAGTTTGAATGACAGCTATATGCTATAGTTGTCTGATCTTAACAATTTTTCGGAGATTGTAGAGTCATCTTGGACAATAATTTATGCCAAATTGCGTGAATATATCTTGTCACATAAAAATTGTTTAAAAGCACTTAATTTTTATCGATTAGTTTCTATGGCAGCTATATTCTATAGTGATCCTATATCAACGGTTCCAGCAAACGAGCTGCTTCTTGAGGAGAAAGCAATATGTGCAATATTTCAGATCGCTATTTTAACAACTGAGGGACTAGTTCGCGTTTATACAGATAGACAGACGAGCATGATTAAATTGGCTCAACTCGTAACACTGATCATTAATATCTATGTGTATATTTTCAAAATAGCAAATAAAATTTTTTAGTTTTATCATGCTATATAAATCGCTCTATCATATTAGTCTATATAATATTATATAACACCTACCGTTGTCATGCAACACGAATTCTCGCGTATCGCTCCACAGCAGCCAAAGAATGATATCACAAATATTATACAACCCAGTATAATTATTATGATGGGCAGTGTATCAACGTTAATAGCCTCTTCGAATGATGAGAAATCGCCAAGATTGCCCACCATAAATGAGCCAAGGACGATAATGAGAACACCACATATCTATGAATAGAAAAATAAAGAAACACATAAAAATTTATTATAAACATTTATATTTTATTCATGTTCGGTTTAACCATTATAATATAATCTGAAACTGTTATCAACTACAAATATATAAACGTTGGTAGGTATGCATAAAAATGGTATGATAAAAAACTCTGATTTGTGCATTTAAATCTTTCTAATCTTTATTATTGTAGCAGTAGCTAAAACTTACAAGTAGATATCATATGTACTCATATTTATAGGTTATGTGCTTATCAAAGCGTTATCATGCATTAAATGAGCTTCACGCCATATTGTCTTTGCAAATTGACCTTTCTATATTGATTATTAGGTGACAGTTGACTGTTGTATACACATATATATGTAAAAATACATATTTTTGTCAGTCCGGGTCAAATTTGATAATTGTTTTTTTTAATTTTGTCAAATTATAGTCTAAGCCTACGACCAGCCGAAGCATAACTACTGCCACATACATTTGGTCATGACTTACTGTATAATATCAAGGTCAAATATTATATAGTTTTCAGCGGAATTACTACAAGTACACATTTACCTAGACTCCACTTAACCGTTTATAAAGAGAATTTTCGCCACACTACTTGTAGAACTCGAAATGCAGTATGTAACTCTCGCGGTTATTTACGCAGTTACCAACGCCATTTTGTACAACATACATATGTTCATATGTTTGTAATACCCAGTAACTACTTACAACTCAGTTGTAATATCTAATCTCTACCAACACTATTTATTTTAGTGTACATCTGAATGTCAACAAATGAATACATTTCCCGCTCGCAAAAAAAATGTAATTTTAGCGAATTGACGATACAAGTATGCACCGATATTCTGAGAGGTATAAGTACTCAGGCAATTATTAACTCCATGCCAATTATAATAGTCACTTGTATGCCCACAAATGAGGTTAAAAATGTAGCGGAAATTCTACAAAAAATCATATACGTATATTACTTTTATAGAGATTGTAGGTAGATATACTTGTAGAACTACATAGAATGTTTCTCTTCGAACATCTGATAGATTTTATGAAAACTTTTTATGAAAGCAACATAATGAAATATATGTAATTGCCTACAGGCCACTTTAGATACCATTTTTTAACTGTTAGTTGGTAGTAGCTATTTTAAATTCGTCGAAACATGCAAGGGAATTGAATAAACAACTGACAGAGGAAAGGAATTACGCCCAAGCCTGGCGGCTAAAAATGTAAATAGTCTTTACGGTCCTGATACTGTAACAGCCACTCACGCGGCAATATTAGTTTGGTCGATCACGCGATAAAATAATGCAAATCGTCAAGTTCAAGCTAAACATTATACAAAAAACTATTTGGAAATATTCAAATAAGGCGGAATATAAAATTTAACTCGATATCACACGTTTTAAGACAGAAAACCTCATGGACCGAATTTCCATCTGTTAATTACTACAAGTACACAAGCAACAAAGTCGATCCAATTATGAAGTAGTTGGCTTCGTGGCTTGGTGATAAAAAGTGGGTATCTTACGACACGTCAAGCGAAAGACGTCGCAGTCGAAACGCGATGAGCTGGCGCAATCTGTGGTCAAACCAAGATTGATGAACAGAAGGGGTTTGCCGCGTGTTTGGTGGGATTGGCAGGAGATCATCTACTATCAGCTACTCCCCTACGGCCAAACTTTTAATTCGCAACTGTACAATTGAATCGTCTGATGGAAGCAAACGAACAGAAGTGGCCAGCTTTGGCCAAAAGGAGCAGAATTGTGTTGCATCAGCATAACGCCACACACACGCGATTGTGACCGCTAGAAAGTCAGGGAGCTTAGTTGGGAGGATCTTACACATCCACCTTATAGTCTGGAAGTGGCAGCAAGTGATTACTACCTGTTTCTATCAATGACGAGTGATTTTGTTGGGGAAAGAAGCGTGTGTTAGTCAACTGTCCCATTCTTTTGCCAATATAGAGGGTTTCTAGGAGATAGTATATATTTGACCTAACTTGAGTGAAAAAGAGTTTTACTTAGTATAAAGACTTTTTAAAGTAAATAATGAATAAAGTGCATTATAAATTGCAAAAATATTGTGCTCAGTTTCAGGTAACAAAGTAATTAATGACAGTTGATAACATCTCAGAAGTGAGTAGTCGGTGGAAAACAAAACACTTCGATAGCTGCTTTACTCTTACATGACTTTAGGTCGTTATACGTAATGCTTTGTACTGAAAAGAAATTACTTTTATTTGTTTTTATTATTATATAGATTAATTATAGGTTCTTCAGTTCGAAGTTAAGTTTTTGCTTAACAGGAGGTATTTATTGCTTTAGCAAATTTTTTTTTAAGCGTTACTGTCCAAGGATTGAGGATTTGGAAAACGCTCATACTATGCACAGCAACAAAAAATGAAAAAAACATTTATTTTTAATTTACTATAGGGTCTTTTTAAATCCTTTTTACTTTGGCCGATATAATAATTAAGTTCAAGATCATAAATGTTGCCGTATCCATATTTGTAATTAAGTTGATTACTCTGTAATTATAATGGGGAGCAAAAATGTCTCCAGAATCGCACCACTTGAAGTCATTAAGTTAAAACCACTTTCATGTCATGTTTTTTCCACCTACATACAATTACAAAATACACGGACACTTGCACAAAGCGAATATATGCTAATATGAATGTAAAAAATTAACAAATTCCTAACGGTACTTTGAAAATTTCAATTTCAGGTAATAAACTGAATTTATATACACAAACACATTACTTTTTTACAACACTGTACTTTTTAATAATTTTTTGTCTATTGTTTTTATTGCTTTAACTCACCAAAAATACTATATTGGCGATATAGATTAAATATTTGACAATTGATTCAAAGAAATTCATTTTGGAATGCTTCTTTCGACTCGTCAAATTTGTGCACTTTAAATAAGTTTTTTGTGTTTTATATTGGTAAATTGATCGTTTTACACTTTAGTATCGCGTTCCTGCCTTGCACATTCACTGCAAATGTTCTAAACGCGTCGAGTTCTCTTGTCGAATTAATCACACAAGAGCGGTTGTTGTGTTCTTTTAAATGTCACTTGCTCCAGCTCCAACGCAGGTTCTCTACATTAGGTGTGCACAGACTGATTACATGCGGTGAAAAATCTCAGACAAGCGAACCAGATACGAGCTGATAAGTGTTTTGCGCTCTCGTGTTGGTAATAAACAAGAGATATTGCAAATATTATTATCTTGAATATACGACATAACTAAATATATTTTATCAGTAATTTATGGACCAAGTACTATGTGGGTATATAGCAGTGTGATAAATAATTTGTTGGGAAATTAAATGATAGGTAAGCTTTCGTTGTACGTTTTTATCTAGAAAATATATGAAAGAAAAACTAATTTGGAAAAGATTGCCCAAAATGAGATCGTACTTAACCGAAACAGGCTCTACAGAATAAATATGTTATTCCATCAAGGTACATACATATATATATATATTGGAACCCTCGTCACCTGCTCAGTAGAGCGCAGAAGCTTCTTCTTTTTCTTCGACTTCACTGTGCCCGCCGGTGGTAGCAGTCTCGTCTCCCAACGACGTTTGTGCTGCTATCCTAGCCCGTCTCATCTCTTCGTTGGTCTCCATACTGAGTTTTGAATTCTGGGGTCCCTACCCCTAACGTTTTATACCTACTGCCACGTGCCTCATTAGCAATGTTGGATTTCCCCATTCACCTCCTTCTGGGATTGCATATAAAGCACCATTCGGGTATAAATCAAGAAGTACACCAGCCTTCGCTAGATGACGCCTGCCTGCAATATGATGACTCAGGCAGTCCAGAGGCAGTTTGAGACCACGACATTACAAGCAGCGACACCCATTGCCCAGTCGAAACGCGCGCGGAAAATACAACTCAGATTTTTGTTGACCCTCTTCACTTTTAACATTTCCTGAAACACATGCATGTCGAAGCAGTATTTAGTTTTCTTTTTTTAAGTCATACTAAATTAAATTAATTTTAATAATATAATTTAAACTTTTGTTATCAGTTAGTATCAATATTTTTGATTTTTTTATGATTACTAAAAGAACCCAATTTCAAGCGGTTACAAGGCAATTGAAATCTTATAAGTCTTTCATTGAAATAACTAATTTGCCTTATCTGTTTCTTATATGTTATTCAAGCCCTCCTGCCATAGCCACTGATAAGTCATATACTTTCACATAATCTTGTGGAAGAGATCACAATATCTTTATTATGGGCAATAAAGAATTACCGTTTGTATGGTATGATTGTAGCAATATAATAATTAATGTGAAATTTAGGAAACAGGAAATGAATCTTAAATAAGATTAGTTAAAGCAATAAGATTATTTGGGAATTATTTACAATTAGTCGAGTAATGAAAAAGAAAGTATTCACGATAGAAATTTACAGTGAAAGTAATAACCAAATTAAATTAAAATTTCCTCACCGTTTTCTATATGTATACTTGTACGCCGCTGAAACGACAAATATTTTGTCAATGACAAATCTTTTTTCAATTTTAAATACATCCAAACTGGTTTTCCATAATAGCGATTAGATATTGATGTTGCTTCTTCCATACAAACTATTCTTCTAAAATCTCAGGTTCACGCAACGTTTTTCCGGTTCCAGCCAGTTTATCACCTCTGTTATGTATAATCTCTATGGTCGAAAAAAACAGATCAAACGACAGAGAGTTGTGAGTTCAGTCGGGTGCTAAATTTAACGTTCGTCAACAATCTCTGATTGGGCCTAAAAAAATAAGTCCTACTAATTGATACATTCTATATTTTCCGGTAAAAAATTTTTGAGTTCAAATATGTAGATATTTTAGAAGAAAATAGACACACAATCGAATTGTTTTTTTTTTTTAATATTTATTGAATTTTTTTACGATTATCGTAATGAAAACAGAGTATTCATTGTAGAATACCCACCCAGTGACACTTAAAATAGTCAGTAAAGTAAAGAGACATTTTGTAATACTCTTCTTTTCTTTATATGTGGTAACTCTATGTATCTCCAAATATATAAAAATTACCGTGAAAGTTAACTATCGGTTAAATCATAGAGAGCGCTATCAGAGATATCTATTAAAGTTTCGGCAGTCGTGATTTTCTCCGTAATAGTTAGACACAGTAACCCTATCAATTGAGATTTTTTTCTCGATCTTTTCTAATAAAGGCGATTGAATTTTTTTTTCGTTTTGAAATTTTAAGAGTATATTTTTTAGATATTTTAGGACTACACAGTAAACAGTTTAAAGAAAAAAGTATTTTTCGAGTTTGACCAAAAAAGGCTGCAGTGATTCCTGCCTTTTCCGTGGATAAAACCAAAATAAATTCACTACTTGAAGAGAAATATTGTCCGTACAATGACACACGGTTGAAAAAAATCAAAAATTTACAAAATGGCGGCGTTTAAAAAAAAAATTGAATTTTACTCAAAATTTTGTTCGATTTGGCCACCCAAAATTCGATTTTTAATCAGATCATTGTATGGACTATGGACTCATATATATACAGAACTTACAGAATATTCTTGGTAGTTGACGGATCATTTGTCACTGAGTAGTCACTCAAGTAAATTTTAAAAATACAGTTTTGAGAAAAACGCGTTTAAATATAAACTATTGGAGCTGATTGAACTGGGCGGATACACTTTAGTAGGCTGCAACTCAAAAACTTTTTGAGATATTGATTTAAAATTTTAGTATCTTATTTTTAAAGGTATAACCTATCCAAATATGGGTCGATCGATCGATTGTTTTTTTTTTTAATTTAACACTGAATGTGCCCCTAAACGACATTCGTGTACCCAAGGAGTTGTATTGATAAAGTTTGATTGTAGCAAAAATTTGTTTTAATGTACTTTAACTAGTTCGGCAAGGTTCCATACACTTGAGTGTTTACATTTATTTATATTTACAGGTTATATTATCAGGCTGTTCATTTTTTACCAGCGCGCTTCCATGCGTTAGTTGGCACAAGTATCGGTACATTTTATTTTTAACTTAATGTTTATGAAGTAAACGAAAAAGGTGTGTTTGTACAGACATTATCAGCATATTGTTGTCGCAAAAAAGTAAGCGATAACCCAATGATAATGAAATGTTAGTTATGAATCACTGTATATACTATAAATGTTTAGGTATGTATATATAGCATATGTACTCGTATACTAGTGCACATCATCGTTTGCGATTATTGGATTTGTTGTTGAACTAGAAATGTGTTGTTGTTTCTAGCTTTAAATAGAAGAGTGACAAACAAAGTGCAGAAGTCCTTAGTCGCAAAAATTCCCCCTTTGAAATACCCAATATGATCTACATATACACTACGGTGTGTCATGTTTAGGCAGCGTTAATTTTGCGAATTCAAAATAGGCTAAAAGCTTTCAAGTAAAGTGCATTTCACAACTTTCCAAAATAAAAATAAAAGTCATAATTTCACACATTTGGAGCTTTAAGTTTGAATAGCTTAAGAATGGGTCACGTTATGAAAAAATATAGCATAGCTCTTTTGTATACTGTCAATTTCCCGCCAGCACATTTATACCCTGAACAGGATAACGTTAAGTTTGCCACGAAGTTTGTAACACACAAATAAATAAATATAAACATATATAAATGATCATCATGATGAGCTGAGTCGTTTTAACCATCTCCTTTTGTCTGTAACATACATACCCGAACTAGTCCCTTAGTTTTTGAGATATCAATCTGAAAATTTTCGTTTTCTCATTTTGTCTCCAAGAAACTGCTCATTTGGCGAGACCGTCGTTAGAGGCCCTCTGTAGCTAATAGCTTCCATACAAACTGAACGATCCAAATCAAGTTCTTGCATGGAAAACCTTTTTATTTGACGGAATATTTTCTCGAAATGTTCATGAACTAGTACAAATTATTATTCGATCCGACCAAAATCAAGTTTTTGTGTGTAAACTTTTTTTTATGAAAGGTGTTATAGCTTCGGTGCACCGAAGTTAACGTGTTTCTTGCTTTTAATTTTGTATGGGCTTTATATGTACGCACATACAAGTATATAAAAGAAAATTTGTATGGCATTTATAGAAAAAATAAAAAGTTAGGAACAAACACCTCTTAATGTTAGTATTAAGAGCTTAAATAGTGCAAGTTTCTAATCTTTTTTTTTAGTTAAGTTAACAAGTTTCCAAAAAATTACACACCCTAATATACACATATACAACGATACATTGATTGTATGTATGCGGATGAGTAAATATGTCTTACGTATTTATTGGCGGTTCAATGGACACCATACGAAAAGTTGTGACGCGTTTTCCGGGTGCAAAGTATTGAATTACAAACCTACATGAGATAAGAGATTGAACGTGATTCATAATGTTGTACCTGTATTTAGTTTGAGATCTGCTCTGTATTAAAATATTTGCACATATACATACATATTTATAATATACATACATATATATGTATTGCGAAATAATCAATTTCTGCTTTCAACGAACAAAATTTATTGATGAATTACTAAGGAAAGTTAATTATTATATTGGAATTTTATTTATATTGTTTTACTATTTCCTTATCAAATTTTTCAGTTTGTTTAATTTATTTCCCTATTTTGGCAAAATTCAATGGCCAAATTGATTTAGCAGAATTTAATTATCGATAAATAATGACTAATTTTACCTTTTTTGACAGTTTCTGCAAACATACATTTGCATACAAGTATAAAAATGTACAATTAAATTGGGTACTAAAGTATTTTGATCGGCAGCAAAAATAACCCTCTCCGTTACGTGCTAGTTATACCATGAACAGAGTATATTAAGTTTTCTGCGAAGTTTGTAACACCCAGAAAGAAACGTCGCAGACCCTAGAAAATATATATGTACATACGTAAATTATCAGCATGATGAGCTAAGACAACAGTGTAATCTCCGAAGAATTTGTTTAGACCGGATGACTATAGCATATAGCTGCCATATTAACTGAATGATCGAAATAAAGTGCTTGCATAGAAAACTTTTCTATTTAATTAGGTATCTTCACGAAATTAGGCACCAGCTATTGTTTAAGGCAAAAATGTATTCTCCAAAGAAATTATTCAGACTAGATCATATAACTGCCATACAAATTGAACGATCGGATTCAAGTTCTTGTAAGGAGCCTTTGTATTTGTGAAGGGTATTATAGCTTCGGTGCAACCGTTCATTTTTTTTTAATTCACAAGTGGATACAACCCCTTAAGCAGTAATATATATATAATATATTTATCCATAAACATATTTATGTATATGCATACGTGGCTTCATCTATTCATCCAAATAAAACAGTGCAATGTTTGAATTGTGCCTAAATGTATGCTACAGTTTTCCAGATTTTTGTGTATAGTAAACAGTCACTGTTAACGCCTAGTTTCTATGGCGCATTCTATTGCCGCAAAAAACCAAAATTAATTAAACCAATTATATTTTATTATAAATAAATAGCTAAAGCGAAGCCGGATACGATTTTCTCCAATGGTGTTCGTAATAAACACTCTGTAGCTCCTCATAATAACAGTTTTAGTCTTAGACAAAACTCTTGATGTCAAGCTATTTTTGCAGATTGAAAAACAAACACACAAAAAGCACGAAGGAAAAATGAGGATTTATTGAACGATGAGACGCATATGAATGCACATACTTACTTAGTTAAATCGAATAAAAAAGCTCGTTCTTTTTGTGAAGTTTGTTAGTAATTACAAATTTTATTTTAAATTCTTCAATATTTGATAGTTTTTAACGCTATTTTTACCATAATTATTAAATCACTTACTATAAAAAAATATATAAAGTAAGTATACTTTTGTGATTGCAACTGTGTGCAAGTTTAAAAATTTCGACTTTTATTGTACATTTGTTGCCAGTTTCGTTGGATTATACATATAACTAATTTTTGTATAAACATTACCGCTATTGCTTCTCTTCATAAATACATACATATTTGCAAAATTAATTTGAGATTCTGTGTTAGAAAATACTCAAAATACTCAATAGGCCGAGCGACGTCTGTAATTTCGAATATTATTCGCTAAGCAGCAGGCGAATATGAAACCAACAAACTGAAAGTAAAAATTTTTAATAAAGAATAATTTTTTTGTTATTAACAAGAACAATTTTTAATACTTTCGGAAAACTCATAAAAAAATACAATACTGTTCGATAGTTAAATTTTTAAAGGAACTAATACTGATTTTTAAAACCCAAGGAGGCAACCTTTCTCTTTTGGTCTGAATCCTTGTGGTGAACGATCTTTTGAAAAGACTTGAGGAACGAGGTTGCCAGGTGGTTGCCTACGCAGATCATGTAGCTTTTTCTGGGAAAAGGAAAATTACTGCACACCGTTTACGACCTAACCCAAAGGTATCTAAACGTCGTTACCAAGTGGGCAAAGAGAAATGAATTAGCCATATAAATACAAATAAAACTGTGCTAGTTTTTTTTTTTTACTAGGGGATACCAAATCCCTGAGGTTACTCTCCTCTCGTTGGGAGGCGCTATTTTTCCATCGGTGGACAGTAATTGGGGCTTATCCTTGATAAGAAGCTCTCATGGAATATCGATATCCAAATATCGAGGAGAGAGTGAGGAAGGCATTGGTCACCTTATATTGTTGTAGAAAGGATAGAGCTGTTCAACAAAAGTGGTGTTCTGGCTTTATAAAACCGTAGTTAAGCCAGTAATGTTTTATGGGGTCGTTGTTTGTTAGAGGGCACTCGACAACAACATTGGCACTCAATGTCATTCTACATGTTGCACCTGTAGACAAAGCTGGTAGGTGCTTGGCGGCGAAGGCTGCTATTAGACTTAAGGAAGCTGGGTATATGAAGGACTCCCCTTTCCCCAATTTCATCCCATTGGAAGCGAGTCGCTATTCCGATCTATTCTTGCGTTCTGACGTTAAACTTTGGACCTCCAGTGAGCTCAGCAAGTGCTGGTGACCAACTAATTTTGTGGTTAGCTCAAATCGTCGATTTATGAGGATCTGGTGATTCTCTTTTAGGAGTTCACGGGTGAAACAATGGACTTATACTATCTGTGTAAGAGAGAGTCATCGATTTTGTATTAAGTCTACGACCTAACCAAACTTGGTTTTTTGTAATAGCAGCTGTAGTAATATATACTTTACATATATTTTTACTTCGTATTTGAAAACTCACCTCAATGGCTGCGACAACCAGACCCGCATATTTGATAATATCACTGTTCTTATCCCAGAAATCAACGAATGCCTGCTTACAGCCACGACGATAGACGTTCTCAATGTTGCAGTTATTACCCTTACAGCACGATGGTGGATAGTAGCCTTGGAATGAGTAGTCAATGTAAGAGTTCTTACCACAGCACTCCATCTAGAATTTCAAAAAATTTCAATCAGTTATTGCTCTTCTTTGTTGTTTTCGTAATAAATACACTAATTTGTATGGCATCCATGTAGTCCGCTTTGTGAGTTCTACGCGCCCATGCCTTTTCGACGACATCGCCTATCATTACTAGATATCGGTCCTTTTGTACCCACATGTATATAACCAGGGCGAGTTGTCCGATCATCAGCACGAAGAGCAGCACAGAGTACTAAGATGTGGAGAATGCAGTGAGTATAGAGATTTTGCGACTCAAAAACAATATTTAGACAATTATTGTAATATTTTGTTGTTTTTTTTTTACCGTCATCGACATGCAATACGACTCGCGTATCGCGCCACAGCAACCGAAGAAGGATATCAGCAATATCACCGAACCCAAAACGATCATTGTAATGGGCACTTGCTGTGTTTGCACTGCCTCCGCAATGTCATCGATATTGTGTATATTGCTGAAGAGCAGGATGCCAAAGACGATCAGCAATATGCCACATATCTATATATGTTTAATTGTAAGCGTGTTAAAAAAAAGAGTATCAATTTTATGAAATTTTTATATAAAAGTATAATTTATATATTTATAAGTCAATCATATTGTATAATTTAGTAATAATTTATATGCATATATACTTATGTATATGGTCTACATACATCCATGTAAAATACTTCAGGTTGCGATATTTATATTTAAAAAATAATTGGATAAAAAACCAGAATTTAAAGGTTTTGGGGTTTGTAATTAAATGTTCTGTTTTTAATTCTGAGCTTGGGATTAAAATTGAGAATTTTATTTTTTAATTGAATAATAAAAATTTTAAATTAAGAATTAAATCGTGAAATGAAAGTTGAGAAAATATTTTTTAACTTAAATATAAGAGAAAATAATAAAAACTAATATATATATTTTTCAAATAAAAAGCTAAAAAAGGAAAGATTTATAGATTTTTAACCGAAATACTCTAATTAAAAGCAATTCAATATAAATAAGACATAAATTGTTGAGCTAGTCGAAGTTTTCTTAAAAATTAGTTTTCCTTATTAAAAGATAACCAACATTGTAGAACACGAAGTACGTAAATACAAAAAAATAAAATTGAAAAACAATTTTTTTTCTTCAATATTTAGTTATAAACTTGAGACTAACATTTTTTTCAATCCATTATTTAGGATTAAATTTTTTTTTTATTTTGCAATCCGCTTTGGGTTTAAAAATTTAAAATTTATTTTTAATAAGGAATTTTCAGATTACAAATGAGAGATATGTATCTATATGTTAACTTTATTATTTTTTATCACATTATTTGCAACCCCGGTTAAAAGTCAATCATTTCGTATAATTTAGTAATAATATATATGCATACATACATATATGATCTACATACATGTATGCATACCCATGTATAATAATGGGTGCTTAATGGCAATACAACGCTTATAATTATGCAAAATGAAAAATGCGTGAAATTTGAAAACAATAATTTTTTTGTCATTTGAGGTAGCGTTTAAAAAAACCTAGACATTTTAATTCACATAATACTGCCTATAAAACTATAAATTTATTACTCACAAGTTATCGTGCAAATTTAAATTATTCTCCCAATGATTGACTTCAATATTAGAAAAAACACACTTTCCCAGTATATATTCAATGTAAACAACAATTTCTAGAGGTTTCTCAAAGCAATTAGAAGTACGTAATACATATATAGAAATTTACAACAACATTAGTAATTGAATAACGTGACTAAACTCTAAACAACCGAGTACAAAAAGAATTACGTAGCTAAGAGTAAAACTATAGAGAGGACAAATGCATACATATGTACATAAAATAAAAATAAAAATAAATAAATAATTAGAAACAGTTCCATTTCTTAAATATTAAATATATTTTCAACAATTAGTTACGTACATACAAAAATACATAGACGCTTGTTACATAACCTTGTCCAATTTACTAGCTACCCATAGAAATCATCCATTGAGTAAAAGTGTACTTCGAGCATAACCAATTCAATTTTCACAAAAACTTAACTGTATTACTTAACTCAGACTGACCTTAAACTGTAGAATTATAAAAATCTAAAAAGGCACGTACGAATATACATACATATGTACTCATGTACATAAGTGCATATGTAGCAAACATAATCATTCTTCTTCTTTTATATTTTTTTTACTCAGTACAAAACTTAACTTAGCTTTAGCACAAATTAGAAACACCTTTTTAAAAATCACTCATATGTATGTATGTTTGCACCATACATATCTACAAAAATGTATCACCACAAAGCGCAGACCGTATATAGATAATCATCTACATACAAATATATGTGTAGAATAAGCTATACCTTTCTTATGTCTGACATATATGAACATATTGACATATACACCCAGTACAATAGCTATTAAATTATTTACTTGACTTTCGTATTGACCCAAGTGTAATTATTAATAATTGCAATTAAGTCTCATGTGTATGGAACGAAACTGTGGCAAAACGCAGGCGTGAGTTTTCAGTTAATTGACAAAATTTTTCGTAAAATGCAAGACGCGAGTATATACATATACAGATATACCTATAGACATATGTTCTTATATATGTCGTCTGCACAAAATTGAGAAATCGCATAATTTACCGTTAATATAATTGAAAGTTCAAGTTCTCTGTATATCCGTAAATAACTATTGTAGAATGTGAATAATAATGGAATCATGAATGAATTAATTTGTTATGTTAAGTCAACACGTGGTAAAATGTTAATCATAATCTCATCAATCATCCATCGATACATAATCATTTTAATATTACATGTATGTTATTCACCTAATTCTGTTTTTACACACTAGATTAATTCTAGAACAAATCGCTAAAGCTCAAAATTTTTTGAATCGTGCTAAATGGATTAAAATCGTGTAAAAAATCACAAATTGTTTTACGATATTTTCGAACCATGTAAAAAAAAGACCGTGCAGAAACCGAATTAAGTATATATGAATAAGGGAAACTGCAGAATCTTTCTATGGATCTATCAGAGTTTATACTTTATTAAACAACGACACATAACTCTACTTCTACCTGGAAGCACCTTATTCAAAAAGAGACAAGTTCGCATATTTATTTGAATATTGTAATATTAGCTTTATGACTATAAGCCATGCATAGGTATATGTATGAAAAAAAATTTAATAATTTCGTTCTGAAAATTCCATTTGACTACCTGTTTTTTTTTTCTCAAAACATCTTGTCACGCTAATGAGAAGCTTCAGACTGTATATCGTCCCAACTAAGTCAGTAATTTGTCTTGGCATGCGAAGTTAATAAAAAAATTATTTTCCTGTATTCACATTCTTAAATGTATGTATTATACATGCATATATACATACATACATATTTGTATAATATTTACTTTCATATATGTTTTATTGCGTTTGTATACAGTAATGAAATACTATACAATATTTATAAAACGATGACGTCTACCGCTGTACTGAAAGCAAACTTGTTTTCGTGTATGTTTTCTAAGACATTTTTGTAGCTTACCAATATACATAATATAAAAAAATAATATGTATGTATATATAAGTGTTTTGTACACCTTAAATTTGCCTCAAGCTTAAACAATTTTTTACAAGATTTTTGAAAACCAGTTTTTCAGAATTTGACATAAATATGTACATACATATATATATGCTTACTAAGAGACTCACATACACACATAAATATGTACATATGTTTGTATTCATGTGTCTAAGTATATCTATGCTTTTGCAGCTGAACCCTTTTTATATAAATATATAGTATATATAATATACAAGTATATAAACCGGTTCATAGATCTTATATTTGAGATTTGCAGCTAAGAAAATTGTCTACATTCTTAATTGTTTTCAAATTCAACTGGCTTAGAAGCTTGATTTTGCATATACACATGAATATCTCTACAAATACCAAAAAGTAATACTATTACATATATTACTATTTTTAATATTTTTTTACAAAATCATGGATCTACTACATTAAGAAATAAATATACAATTCAAGAAGAATAAATATGTGTGGCTATTATTAACATATTTAATTATGTACATATGTACATACATATGTATGTTTGTGTGTATGTAAGAAAAAAGCACCCATAAATTCTATTCACAATTAAAATCTTTGTTGTATTTTACGTAAGATATTAAGGAAGAATCGCCTTTAGAATAAAAATAAAAATAATGCTTAGATTTGTTCTTAATAAAATTAGATTTAAATATAATAAGAACACGGTATCCATATACGAACTTGGAATATATATATAATAAATAAAGAATTACTTTTTTGTTTACTTATAAATGCACTTATAATTATTTCTAAAAGTGAAGTATAAATTACAAAACACAAGCTTCCAAATAAGTAAGCTAATTGGTCAGGTTCGTGTATCCAAATTCAGTGCCGAATGAAAACTGGCTAAAAATACAACGAAATAATATAAATTATGTCAAATCGACAAATTGATGATCTCACAATTTTGCAATCATTTTATGCGCTTAAAATTTTTAGTTGTATTAACTCGTATGCAATTTGCATAAATTTAACAATAATCTACCTATCATTTATATATCAGCCATTTCGAGTATAGAGGTTAAAGTAATAAAAAAAGACTTACCGAACATAGCAAATTAAACAAAAACAAAAGGTATTTAACCAAAGAGATGCCACAACTCATTGTACGAACTTTTAAGTTATAGTTACAGCTGCAGAAAAAAGACGGATAATAAAAAAGAATTCAGAATTTCAATTATATTTTCTACCGTTTTATAAACAGTATTTATTTACATTAAAGTGGAGCCAGATTGTGAGTGGAGCAATGTACATACAATGTCAAAAATTAAAATTCATTAAACAAAAATTGCAAAACAAATGCAAGCATTCATAAAAGAAGGCACTTAAAATTTCTAAGTACTAAAAACACAGTGGTTTCTATGCAGAAGTACGCAATCGAAAATCATAAAATTCGCAGACTTTCCTCAAGATCGTTATGTAAGATGCACACGCTGTTTACTACACAGCAAACGTTAGCTAATATTTACGGCTCCTTAGCGTACTAGTTCTGGCAATAAAGACTTTCGCGAAAATATTTTAGCCTTTGCATCAAGCAGCATACTCCATAGTGATGGATGTTTAGCTAGCCAATACAACCAGGATTGTTTTGTCAATGCGCTCGCTTCCACTTTCTTTAGATGATCATAGTACTTTGCATTACGCTTCACTGCTGCAGCTTCGTCGGGCGCAAATCGTGCAAAACATAATTTCAATAGAGTTTCGGATATGTCGATAAGACGTCCACCTTTGGGCGGGTGTACCAAACACAGTTGACTCACAACAAAATCATCACTTTTACTTTTTGCTAGCGGTAAAAAAGTGGCACGACGACCAACTATACATGATTGCAACCAAGATATGCCATTACCATTCACTTTTATCCCGGGCAATTTAACGGGCAATACTCTATCCTTACTAGCGAATATCGGTATCAGCGGCCTGTGGCTAATCAGCAATATGGTATCCTGATCTTTCATTTGTATATCACGTATTAGTCCAGTATGCATAATACGTTCATTTATCAACTTCTCTGGGATGTGCGAAGGTTTTTTGAAAGGGCGCACCAAATATGCCGGTTTGCGTTTAATGTATGCAATCAGTAGCATTAAACCTGATGTACCATATATAGCAGCTTGGGTGCCAATTGTGTCCTGCTCCATATAATTGCACAAACCTTCGTATTTGGAAACTATATATGATTTTAAGCTGTTTGTTGCCATTTTAAATGCCGGTAAAATTTAATAACTTCTCTATGGATTTGTAGAAGAAAAATACACTTGCCAGCTGTTAACTTCCAGATTTGCTGCAGTGCTATGTTTAATGTAGCTTCTGCTTTGTTTTGATTTCTAGCGCTGTGTTTAATATTAATTTTATTTAGTACGCTGACCGTGTTGTTGCTTCAAATGTCTTTTTGATTACCACTTTCGTCACGAACGCAGTTATAGGTACTACAACTTCGGTACGGTATGATACGAAGTTATCGTTTGGAGTTACACGTAATCGTCTTGTTCATATCCGTATGTGTGTGTGATTATTGCCTAAAATGCCAAAAGTGTTTATTAAACACTACAGTTATATTATTTTGAATTTGAATTATTTGGTTAAGCCAAATCTACTTTAAATGTTGTGTAACTTTTTCATTCCAAAATATCGATGACATCATATAATTTTTACGTACACTTTAAAGCCTTCTCGATAATAATATATTCATTCGTATTTTTGTGGCGGTGCGTATTATGAATCTCATATGAAACAAAATAAGTTCGCTCAAAATCGTATTTTTTCGTAAATTTTTGAATTGCTACTAAATCTTAGCGAACACAAAATATATGACTGAATCGCAAAGAAACTGTAGAAATACTTCACACCTCGTCGTTTTGTCGTTCGTTGATCACAATATTGCTTATCGTGCATTCAACACATTTGAAGGTGGAGTACAAGCAACCATATAAACAAGATACCAGCATTGGATCACTATGGTAAAAACAAACGCATCACCTAAAGCGAGACAAATTTTCTCATCTCTTTTCTTTCACAACATTGCTATATATGTATGTTTATTTGTATTTTACTTCGAAGCTATTATTGCCAATTATTTCATATATTTTTTTATTTTTGAATTTGTTTCTTGTTTTGCTTTGTATTTTCGTAATAACAAAAATTGATATTTAGATATTTAAACAGTATATACACCTCTCACAATCACAGGTAACCACTTGTTGATAAATAAACTAAAACCAAATCATAAGCACTAAAACACACATAAACGACGTACCTACGAAAAGCGAATTCAAAATTTCGTTCAACAGGAATTTCGTATATTTCCGTTAGTACAGTAGTTTTATTGAATTAAAATTTTTATCCGCATCGGTTGTTCACCAGTTCGATCGTTATTTTAGACTGAAATCTCCAAGTACTGCGGATTTGTGCCGATGCTCCAAAAGGCGAACGGTGACAGAGCTGTAGTCAGTTCAGTCAGTGAATCAACCAAGCAGAAAAACAGCCAGCCCGTCAGCCAGCTAACAGAGGTAGCCGAATAAAAGCCAAGCGAACAGGCAAGCAGCCGCCTCTGAGTTGAGCACTCGCAACAGCTCAGCTGGCTGATTTTGTGTAAAAACAACCGCCTGTTGCTTTTATTGTTATTACTGGTTGCCTATTCGGCATTAGCACATAGTGTTAATATAGTAAATTATATTATTCCATGTTTTTGTTGCTTGTATTGTTGTTATGAGTTTGTAGTTGACGCGTCATAATGTGTACAATTTGTATAATAAAACATATTCACGTCTGCTGATTCCTCTCCTATTTCCGCTGTGACCGCATGGAAAAAGAGTATTTGCAAATGCAAAATTATTACGTTATATCATACTTTTGTTGTAATTCGTATAAGAAACTGTAGATATTGGTTTATGCGTTTGTGAAGTTAAATAGCTATAGTAAGTCTATATTGCCATTAATTAATACGATCGCTTGACTCATAAAAATAAAAATATTTTTCGTCTGTCATTCATTAATACACACAGTTCAATATCATTCAATGTTTTTTTGAACATAGTAGCTTCCACTTCCCTTCATATAACGACATAAATAAGTATACATGTAATCATATAAGTATATGTAATCATATATAATATGTATGATATGATTACATATCTACAAGTGTATATTTATATCCGTTATATTAATTTTGCCACGAACTTTGTAACACTCAGAAAGAAATGTCGGACATTGTTCATTGTAATCCTACACTATGCGAACATATTATTCAGATCGAACTACTATAGCATATACGATGACATCAAAGCCTAGATAAAAATATTTTTGTTCCCACGTATGCTATAAGAAATGCGCCTGCGAGGGTGTTTTATTTTATATATAATCTTTTGTCATTAACTAATTATGGAAATGTAGTTTAAGTACATACATATTTTTATATAAATTCAATTTATAAATACAAACCTCGTATAACAACAAATCTTAGAACATAGTTTTCATATGAAAAGCTTGCCATAAAAAACCATCTGTCAATTGGCAATGGCATAAAAATTCCTTTATTTGTTGCGAGAGTAAATAACAATATTTTATTCTAAAACTGCACAAACATTTTTTATTATGTTGTTGCCACCAGAGCAACGTTAGAATGTATGCGTTTACCTTGAGCATAATGAAACTGTAAAGTTCAAAAGCTTTACTGCATACATTAATGCTGATCTCTTCGATCTGGGTGAAGGACACTTTTTATTTTTTTTTTTCGATTTATTATATGTATTTGTATGAATATATATGTATACATTACGTACAACAAAGAATCAAATACTTTGATTTATAACGGAGACTTGTACCATCAGAGAGAATCTGTACGTACTTATTTGCGGTTTAGCCTATATGTACATGTACCTATTAAATATTCAATTCTTACAAAATTTGGTTCAAATCATGTGAGTCACATAATTTATCGCTAGAGCGGAAAACTCTACTAATAGAAGTTTATAGAAGTAAACGTTTAGAAGTTTACGTTTGGATTAGTGTGACGAAGACAAATTTGGATTTTTAACAAACCGGCGGCCACAAAAAAAAATCTTATTTACAGTCATATTACATACATTTTGTGGTACGCGCTGATAGCACATCTTGTTTTTCTTTAATGCACTTAATTTACAGCCAGCAGAGACGAACGCACTCAAGGCCCATAGAAAGGTGGAAAGGTTATCGTCTGCCTTTACCAATAATGAATACAATTATGGTTATTTAAATTAATAAATAAAATAAGTATATTGATAAACGGATTTAAGAGTACTTATATCTTTAATATTTCAAATATTATACTTTATATTTTCTGAATTAATGTGGTAAATAATATGTTTTTATATACAAATATAAAATATATGCGCATTTCCACCAGAAGATCGACCACAGACAAAATAATAAAAATTATTAATATTACATTGTTTTTGCATATTTTCAGAGGAAAATAATCAAATTTAATGCATATAAATTTTAAATTTATTCAATCCCCATTTCGAGATATACGAAGGTCAAGTCGCGCAGGAGCTACTTCTCATTTCGATATTTCTGTTGCACTTTTTTTTGGAAAAAGTTATTATAACATATTACGTATAAGCTTTTGCTCTGTGTAAAATCTTTCTAAGGGCACAAAGAGCAAAAAAAAATGTCTTAATTGAAAATTATTTTTGGTGTTACAAAATTGATTTAAGTATGTAAATATAAATACATACTTTTGCATTATTTACCATATTTATAGATGAAAAAAACCGCGTCGAAAAAAATAAGGAGAGTTGCAAACGGTGAAGAGAAAAGTTAAAACAAGATCAATTAAATTACAGAACATTAAATAAGAAAACAAGGAAATAATACGAAAAGCTGGCAAAAATGGAAACTGTTGGCTAAAGGAAATATTGAAATGATTGAAGAAAAAAGACGGTGTGATCACTTATGATGCATTTTCTATTTATCAATGTAAAATAGTATAACTGGTGTTAAAATGTGTTATATGTCAACTGATCGGATTGAAAATCATTGTTTATTATATAATTTAGATGAAAAATGAAGAGTAGTTAAACACATTCCAGGTATTATAAAAATAAATACATTTACTACTTTTTTTAAACGATTCTACTGCACTTGTTTTATAATTCCGTATTAAAGCAGCAGAATCATCATAAATATTATGATGGAAAAAAATGTTCCTTGCGACAGTGGTAAATATTTAATTAAAAAAATACTAGAAAATAATTTTAGAAATAATTCATACTAATTTTAAAGGCATGAATGCGTAACGTTTTAAAATTAGTAACATTTAAATATTGTGTCAGAATTCGCTGAAGTCCGCAAAAACCACTTCCAATTTGTGTTCCGCGATAACGCCTTGTTTTTTTATAATTATCTTGAAAATGAAAATTGTTCCAAAATCAACCATAGCACTAAATACAGTAGCCCTGCAGTAAGCAGCTATTAATAAATCCTACTGTCAAAATTAAAAAAAAAAATTAGTTAATATTTTCGTTTGTTAAAATGTGTGCGAGTGTCACGTTCGACATAATGGAAATGCCCATATAATATATAACAAAAAATTAAGTTAGCAAAATCTTGTTATAAATGCATGTATATATATACAGCTATGTATGTATGAATGTCTGCATATGTGTGATTAAAATATACGAATTCTTTAAACATAATGGAAACACACAAAAATAGAAGCTCGTTTATAAGTGAAAGTGTCACAAACAAAAAAAAAACCAAAAAAGCACATACGAACAAACAAGTGTACGTACATTTAGGCATACATACATATGTATATACATACATACAAGAGCATATATAAATGTATGTTTGTACATAAATTCAAGCATACTAAATTAAAAATACGCTACCACGCCCGCATAAGCAGCATTATGTTTATTTCTTAACTCGTAGATACATATGTACGTACATACATGCATATGTGCATTAAGTTATATATAATAACAACACTAAACCACTTTTTTTCTAAAAAATGCATTGTTAAATTGTGTTTTCGCTTTTGTTTTGATTATTTTTCCTGTCGCGCAACGGTTGTTGTTATTTGTTTTGCCCAGTTTGCTGCTGACTGACTGTGACCGATTGCATAAAATGAAAACAAATGCACACGTTCGATTGTACTTCAAGCGAGCAAGCGAAATATCCAATAAACCTGTATTTATATACCTTCATACATATATGTATGTTTATTTACATACATAGGTATATAAGCAATTGCAAGTGTATACATGCCTGGTGACGGAAAAGCTGCTTACACCGGAAAAGCGCGCCACAGCGGCTTTGAGCTTATTTACTTATTTACATACATATCGACATTGATATGTATGTATGCATGAGAAAATAAAATTATATACATACATCTTTTAAGTTTGTAAATACATAAATATATGTATATATACTCATGTAAATACGTATGTGCGTGTTTTTAATCATACGCTTATAAATCACAAGCTTGTATTCGTTTGAAATTTGTTGCTTTTCGGTCAACTTTTATAACCGGTTTTTAATTATTATTTCTTGGTCGCTCCCACAATGAGACCAAATACAAATAACATTAAAAGTGTGTTTTACATGAATATTCTCAACTGCATGTTCACATATCAATTTTATGGCATTTATTGTATTTACTTAACCTATTTACTTTATTGTTATATATATTTTTCCAATTCTTATTTAATATTCATTGTTTTTGATTACATTAATTTTTATACCCTGAACAGGGGTAGGTATGCCACCAAGCTTGTAACATAATATACACAAACTAGTCCCCCAGTTTTTGAGATATCAATCTTAAATTTTTGACAGCTGCTCATTTGTCAGAACCACCAATAGAAGAACCGTTTATCGTGGCAATGCCTAGAAGACGACTGCCTACACGCCAATTTAATGTAGTTCCCTAATACAAAAACTTTACAAAAAGTTCATTGCTTAAGTTAACGAGAAGCTCGAAAATAACTAACCAGCCCTCATTGCAAATTTATTGATAATCCCAAAATCTTATCAAGCTTCGCTTTCAACCAACCAAACAACCGAATCGTCTAAAAATAAATAATTTTTAAAGAAAAAGGTTACTAAGATCTGTATAAGTAGGAAAGCGCCCCTTTTGGACTTTGGAGAAAGCTGTAAAGCTATACCGCCTGACTATTTTTACTCTCGGTGAAAAATTTAAAATATTTTTATTGATTTGAATATCTTCTTCCAAAAATTATCCCTACCCGTATTATAGAGTAGTTAAGTTTTTTGTCAAATCCGTGAAATATTGTAAGTGAATTCTTATTCTTATGGAGAGAACATATTTTTCTAAACTTCATTGGTACTTAGCTTAGAGGGCTGATCATAGTAACAAAATAATTTAAGCACGTCACTTTCAACAATTGTGTCGCTCAATCAAAACTGAACACCGTTTTTTTTATTTTTCTAGAAAGGTTTGGAATCACTCTTAAGGGATTACATGGACTTCACGGCTTCAAAAAACAAATACATTTTTTATTGTCTTATTTAATTCTACTCGTATAACATCTCTAGAATATTGTACAATATTCTCAAGTTGATCCCAGTAACAGTTTTGGAGGTACAGCTTTGAAAAGTTGCGCACTCGAGGACAGGTAGTAAACATAGTCACTTAAAACTTTAAGCGCGTTTTTCTCGAAACTGTGATTGTCAAGATTTCTCACGAACTACTCAACCGATCTTAATGAAATTATACACAGGTCTTTGAGATATAATTTACAAAGTCTTGCACGAAGGTTTTTTTTTTTTTGTTCAATTACAACTATTTGAAAAACAAAAAACGTGGAGAATTTTTCACCAAAATTTGCATTGTTTTGTAAAAACGTCTGCCAAAAATACAATTTTCACTTTATTTTTTTCCCCGTCCAATACCTAGTTAATGGACTTAGTTCTAACACGTATACACGTATATGACCGAATTTTGAATATTTTCCTTTCAAAATTTCACAAAATCTTTATGAAATATGTATGTATCTACGGAATAATAAAAAGTTTGAATAAAATATTTAATTTTTTTATTTGAAAAAAAAAATTATTGCGCGTTTTTATAGCGCGTTTTTTGCTCGACGAACCCCGTGTAACCCCTTAAAGACATCAAATACAAGATGCTAGAGAGTTTATTTCCTAATGTATTTAGAAACGGTGTGCTCGTCTGCTTACATATGCTTATATGGAAAACGTGCTCATTTAAGCATTTTATAATTGATACGTGTTTTCAGCCGGTAGTTGGCTCAAGCTTCCCTTGTTGAATTGGAATTGGCCAGTGAACTCCTTTAGTCAGCACTGCGTATACGTGACATGGAAATTGAAAATATGCTCCCATAAACGCGCATATACAGACCAGGGGGTGGTTGAGAATCAGTTTGCTTACATAAATTCATATTTCCATTAAATTTCTTATTACCAATTATATGTAAATTATCAACGTGGAAGCATTTCACTTATTCTCATCACACATTTTTCAATTTAAATTTATAGTTCAACGAAACCAAAATCCAACGGAAAGAAGAACACGAAATATGTTTTTTAATTACCAGACCTTATTTAAGTTTGTATCTGCATTTTTTTTGAGTTACATGCCCCCAAATTCAAATAGTAATATGGACATGTGTATAGAGAGATTATGATAGCTGACATTTTTATGCACTGAACAGGGTATATTAGTTTGACGCGTAGTTTGTAGCAGTCAGAAGGAAACGTCGGAGACCCCATGAAATATGCAAGTATGTATATAAATGATCCGTCCGTCCATCTGCCTCTCTATACATACGCGAACTAGTCCCTCATGTTTCGAGATATTAACCTGAAATTTTGCACATGTCATTTTCTCATTTGTAGGAATCACCGGTATCGGACCACTTTAGTGTTTAGCTGGCATACAAACTGAACGATTAACATGTTCTTGCATGGAAACTTTCTCATTTGACGAGATATCTTAACGTAATTTGGCAAAGATTATTGTGCAAGGCAGCGCTACAATCCCTGAAAAAAATTATTTAGTTCGAACTATTATAGCATGTATTTGCCATACAAACTGAACGATCAAAATCAAGATGATCTTTTTATACCTTTATATGTTATAAGAAATGCACCTGTGAAGGGTATTATAACTTCGGTACAGCTGAACTTATCGTTTTTTCTTGTTTCAATACATTTAAGCGTTCGTTTTCAGTTTAATTTGCCAGCAAGTCATAAACGATTGTATACAGTATGAATCATCAGCCGACTTCTCGTCTACGCTTTATGCACATACAGCTTTACATTTCAAGTGGCTGTGACAGCTTTAAGTAAACCTGAGTTCGGTCCAACATCAAGACAAGTTCAATACTAAACTTATTTAAATGCTCATTGACCAAACAATTTCATGCATATAAAAATTTAACTATTTGGCTAAATAAAAAACGAGTTTATTTAAGTCGGTCCGTTATATGATTTTACAAGTGTTTTGTGATTAAATTACTCACTGACATTTCTCTACTCTGTGGTTATAGAATTTAACCAAAATATAAAATTTTGAATAAAAATAAAATTAAAAACACAATTCATTTTTGCAAACGTGTGTACATACATACATATATGTACTCATACGAGTACATATGTATTTTTATTCACCTCGTGTTTCAAATAATCTTCTGAATATTGTAAAAATTGTTACATTTACTTGTACACTTATGTATTATTAAGATTTACTTATTTTAAATGTAGCATTTCCCATTTAGTACATACGTCTGTTATAATTTATTTGTTGTTGTGGTGGCTGTCCTGGTTGACCTTGCATTATTTGCGGTTGACGCGCCATATGCTCGTGTGCGGCAGCAGCACCACGGCTAGTTCCATAGCCCTGAGTTATACTCGACGCTGATTTGGGATTCTAACAATGGCAAAATAAATACAATATAAATACTAACATTCAATGCAAAACTTTCTACTAAAACTATGTTGTAAACGGTAATAGCTAACCTGCCCTGGATTGCTATTAATTTGCATAATGTTGGGATGTAGCGACATGCCGGGCATCATTGGTGTATACACAACACCCTCTGGCAATTGATGCGGTGGTCCATGATTTGGTGGTCCGTCATGTTTTACATCAGAATGATAACGATCACTGATTTTCTCCATTGTAACTTGTGGTTTTTGCGATTGCACACCGGGCGGTACTGATGAAACTGGTCCAGACTGTGAGATGGGTGGTGCATCCAAACTTATATGATAGACTTGTGCTGGTTTCGATGGGGCCTGATCTGATTTTGACACAGGTGCAGAAGGTGCTGACTGCAGATCTAGGTGGAAGCCCTGTCGTATTGGTAGGCCATATGGATATATTATAGCTGGACCACGTCCATCTGGTTGTGGTTGCGGTGCATTGCCTGTTGAGGAATAGAATAATGCCCCGGGTCCTTGATACTGTGAAGGTGGTTCTAAATATTTTCGAAAAATATTATAGTTAAGAAGAATTATTTAAATAATTTAAATTCTTACTACTCCATGCAACTCGAGAATATTCAGCGCCGCGACGACCATCATCGATCTCTGCAAAGTAAAAATAATTTTTGTTTAAAAAAAATAACAGCAATAATATGCTGTCTGAAACGTGCTACATAAACAAAACCTAGTTTTACTTCATTAATTACCAATTTAAATGTTTTTAAAAAGGATTTTTTTGCACTTGCGCTTGCACTAAAATCAGCAGTTCAAAATATGGTTACCTTATGTTTTAAACGAAGTAAATTTATATTAAAATGACAAGAATTACTTACTCGGTTGAGCATAGGAGGCATTTTTATAGTAAGTTTGGTGCGACGGAGGTGATGGACTTCGCGTCCGTTTGACAGGTTGATTTGCTACAGGCTGTGAAAGAGTATAAAAAATTATAAACAAATAGTTTGCCGATATTTCAGTACCTTGGGTATAATGGGTATTGGATGGTGCTGCATACGAACGGGTGGTATGAACACTTGTGGTGGCAGCGGTGCAACATTTACTTGTTGTGCTTGCAAAGCTTGCATTGCGAATAACTCGTTATCTTTTTGTTGTTTTTTACGGTTTTCATCTTCATTTAATACTTTCTTTAACTGTAAAAATAACTGCTGCTTCTGATTATGCAAATCTTTAATTTGTTGGTCAAGTTTGGCAATTTTGTCACGTGTATCTTCAAGTGATACATCATTCTGATGATCAAGTTCATCACGCTCCTTTCGTAAACGTTCCTCTTCCTCTTTTGCATCATATTCTGTAAAATAAAATGGTAAATTATAAATCACTTAATTTAAATCAAAATACTTCAGATAAACACATACCCTCCTTTTTGCGTTGTCGTTCCTTAAGGACAAATGCTTTTAGCGCTGAGCGGAGGCGCTCCTCCCTTTCAGCTTTGGCGGCAGCTGCGTTGTTATTATTATTGCTATTATTAACAGCTGAGGCCGAAGCAGATGGCATTTTAGAATTAAATTTCTTCTCTGTCATCTTCTCGTCCTTCTTACGGTTATATTTATTAAACAAACCTATTTTTAAAATTAATCATAAAAACCTCAAATAAAAAATATTTTCGTTTTCGATGGAAAACGCAGATCAGCTGGGCCCAGTGTAATACAAATTGGCCAGATTAAAAATTTTTCGAAATAAGTAAAAGGTTCTCGGAATATGCAAAATAATAAGAAACTACCATATTTTTACAAAATATTTGTAAAATAATTTGTATTATTAAAATATATTGTACAAATCATAACGAAATTATATTTTTTATAAAATTAATGAAAGTTTTGAGCAGAAATTTTTCAAAAATTGGGCAGTACTTGCTGTAAATAATGTTGTTTCTTGAACCACTTCAACAAAAAAAAGTCTTCAAAAAATCATATATATTTCTGTTCTTTATGTCTTATAATAACATAGATATGTCAATACATTGAAATTAATATAATTAAAGTAATAGTATTTAATATTTGTTAAATGTTAATAATATAATATGAAATGATTTTTATGTATTCTGTGCCGCAGCCAATAAATGAGGAAAGCAACACTGGTCGTAGGTATTTTGACCAGACAAAAAGAGGGAGACAAATCAATGTTCTATCGTTTGTGTTGCAGGAAAGAAGTAAAAATTGCTGGTGATTAATGTGCGTGACGATTTATGTATTTATTAAATTAAAATACATTTAGTTAATAAAAAGCTGTAAAGTCTAATATTAAAGTAAATGTGATACAAAAAGGAGTGATATACGGTAAAGCCTAAGCGATTTAGTTGTGAATAAAATATAAATTACATCGTTGTTTGCTGTCCTGTGGCGAATAAATTGTTAGTTGCATGGGACAAAAGTCGTGTAATAAACAAAAGGAAAAATAAATGTTGCAACACAATAAAATTAACATAAAATCATAGCGCAAATTCAAATCAAATACTTTTATATCAATAAGAAAACCAACGAAAGGTATATTTGTGTATATATTGACAGAACAGAAGCGGCAAGCAAAGGAGGAACACCAAATAGCAAAACATCAACCAGTAAAGCAAGCAAATAACATGGCAAGTAAGTATTGCAGCAAGTAAAGAATTTTTTTTAATGCATTTTCATAAATTTCAACATAATTGGAAATGCTTACCAGCGTCTAGTTTGCCTAGCTATTATTGCTCTTTGCCAGATAACTTCATGAATAGCTTCAACACAAATGATTATGAGAAAAAAATGGAAGTAATTGACTGCAGAGACCGCGCCTGCTGCATTTGTGTTTATCTTACACAAAATAAACAAAAGCAAATTTCTAATGCTTATTTCTATGTGGCTTTTATACTCACCAATCCTACATAACTACATTTATGCATATATGCAACAGAAACAACATTCAGGAACATTTGTACTTCATTGCTAGTTGAATTATGTTTATTTACTTTAGCCGTATTAATTTTTTGAAGTACCTTTAGCTTATTTTGCTGCTGCTGCTGTAGACAATAACATTGCGCTTTAAAGTAAGTTACGGCACGTTATTTAATTTACACACTTCCAGACATTTAAAATATGTGCATGTGCTCCGGTTGCGTTAGGTGTCTCAAGTGCTGCACTTCGTGGCAATAATTGCATTAATTACAGGAGATCGGCATTTGCACTATTAAAATCTGGTGTGAAAAATCAATATTTACAACTGTTTCTCTTCTATCTCGGTTTTAAGCATGAATGCATATTGTACGAATGTTGCAATTTTCCTATCTAACTCATTGTTATCATTCCCCTACACCGTACACAATAAATCCAACGCACAATAAGTCGTACTCATTAAACAAATGTAGTTTCTTTGTGAAAGCATACAATCTACATAAGTGAGTAGTTTTACCGATTATTTTTGAGTTTTTTTTTTATTGCCTTAAAAGAATATATACATATAGTTAGATATGTGTTTGTGGAATCATCGAAAGAAAGTTATTAAATGACATTTGCCTAATATGAAGCAGAAAAATTAAAATAATATATATGATTATAAAATTCAGAAGTTTACTGTTTTATAGACAACTTATATATCTTAGATGAGATTAAATCCAACACATTTTCCTGCACTTGTTTCTGTACTTAATTGAAAATGTGACGAATTCAATCTCTATTCTGTTTAATTTTACTTCAAAATTCGATACATTGAAGTTGACGACGTATTCGGTATGTTGCTCTGTTTTAAATTAGTTTAAATGTCTAATTTCATTGTAGTCATCTCATCCCGAGTTGTTCTACTGTAAAATATTTGATTATACAATATTTTGGGCAAATGTTTTTTTATAAATACAGTCACTTACCATTTTCAAGATATAGCTACTATATTATAAGTATTGGAATCAGGTCACTCCTTTCTCGTAGCACAATTATGTCGCAAAAGGAATCATCAGTGATACGTTTACCAACTAAAAAATATACTTCGGGCTTCTTAAAATTCATGACAAAGAATAGTTGATGCACGTTTGTGTTTTTGAATTTCGAAGTCAAACTGTTACAAAGAAAATAGAATAAAGAAATTTTGTTTTTGTATACTTTTTAAAAATGACTGTCAAAGTTTAGTGCTGTAAAAAGAACTATTAAAATGTAAAAAAACTAACATAATTATCGTTTAGCCAATAAAAAAAACATCTTATAAGATTAATATGTACAATAGGTAAATATGTATGTATGTAAGTTTGAATTTTATGCATACTTAATGTGTTTGGTCGATATTCTTAACGCCATATTCTGCATATATACGTATATTTTTATTTTTCTATTACTCTTTATTGTATAATTTTCAAATAGTTTGAAAACAAAAAAAAAATGCTAACCGAGGTTGCAAAAAAGCTGTAATACCCTTCGCAGGTGCATTTCGTAGAGTAAAAAAGGTTATAAAAAGATTTTTATCTTGATTTTGGTCAGTAAATTTGTATGACAGCTACACGCCATAGTGGTTCGATCTGAACAATATGTTCGTAGATTAAAGCGGCGCTTTGGACAATAATCTATGCCAAATTTTGTAAAGATATCTTCTCAAATAAACAATCTTCCATACAAGAATTTGATTTCGATCTTTTAATTTGTGTGGCAGCTATAGCTATAGTGATCCGATATTGGCGATTCTGACAAATGAGCAGCTTCTTGTTCAGAAAGGGACGTGTGCAAAATTTCAGATCGACATATCAAAAACTGAAGGACTAGTTTGCATACCTATATATTATATATACAAAGGGGCAGACAGACAGATGGACATGGCTAAATCGACTTAGCTCGTCATTTATATACCATATATATATTTTATATGGTCTTCGACGTTTATTCCGGGTATTACAAACTTTATATACCCTGTTCAAGGTTTAAGGTATAAATATTCTTCATAAAGCTCAACATTTATGTTATAAATTTAATATTGACTTTAAAATCCCCAAAAAAACTCAAAAAATGTTGCGAAAATAAGTTCTATGCTTGTTTTTATACATTTTTGCTTTTCAAATGGGATTCCAGTTTCATGTATGAGTAGAAGGTAAATGAAAAGTCAAAATAAAGTTCAAACTCAATTTTAGTAACAAGTGTTGCCAAGCCTAGAAGTAGCACAGGAAAAAGCAAATGTGTATGTGTGCACTTATGTATGTATGTGTGGCTACTTGTGCAGAAATGCAAATGCAAAAGTGCAATGTCTGTAGTGGCTTGCCACTTCAAGTATCCACACACGTGTCTGTATCCACACACTTCGACGCATTTCTGTGATGTCAATAAAAAAAGGGAATAAAAATGGTATGTTTGGGGGGAAAGTGAAACTTAACAAAATGTAAAATGGAAAAATTACAACAAGGACAAGAGTGGCAACAACAATCACAACAATTCAATGTACATATATATATATACATACATACATATCTAAGCCAGTATAAATATACACATGTATGTTTGCGGTATATACGTACGTGTGCTTGTGCCTGTGGTATGTATCAACAACAAAATCAATGCCGACTTTCAGCAACTTGCTTCCTACATGCCCACAAATAACATAACAACTTATGCTTTACATCAACAACACATCCTTCTACATTTTTTTCTCGACGCCTTGAGGATCAAGCAGGCAGCATCAACAGCAAGCTAACACACAATAGTCAGTCAACAGCCCTTAGTAGCAGTACCAACATCGTCATCCATGTAAGCACTGTCATTCATAAACTATGTTACATAATAGACGCATAGACTATTCTAGACACATACACAAGTGTACATATTCATATACATATAAACATGTGTGTGTCTCTATGTGATGTTGACGCACCGCTCCCCAACGCAGCACGCAATCAGATGCCTGACGCCGCATATGATGTGAAGCTTACGGTTGAGCTCCTTGCCATATGTACATATGTATGTATGTAGTGGTATGTGACGAAGCATCATTATAAAAAGCCAAGTAAACGCCAATGGCTATGTTAGGGCTGATGGAATGCGCTTGTGTGTGTAATCTATGTATGGTGGTAAGTGATACCTCAGTTATATGTACGCATTCAATCTGTTTATGCTCTGAGCACACACACTGTGCGCGCCAAAGAGTCTCATTGCGCTTGGCTTTCTCTAAGCAACAGTAACAGCTGTGCTCAATAACCAAGTAATGCGGTGCGAGTTGAAACCCCCCGCCATCGCTTACCACCTTTTAATTGGTCCTTTGTGTGCCTATGTGTTGTGCGGCACAGCAGGCCTACATAGAGTTTGACAGCGGCTGTCAACACTAACCACCAACACAAGTGCGGCAACGAAGTCGGGCTGTTTGATGCACTAAACTGGGGGGAAGAGATTGTAGTAAGAATTATGTAAAACGAAAGAGAGTTAAGTTCTTGCATGTTCTTTCAACCAAGCTTTTTAATAAGATCTGCAGAATAAATATTTGTTAACTATAATTTAACGTTTTTGCTTCGAAAATGCATACTTATCTATATATTTCTTTATTTAACATTAATGTATTCCTTAATAAAGAAGTTGACTATAAGTTCTTAAGTCTAAAGGCTGTAGCCCCGACTTTTGAATTTACCGAAATGGGCTCAGCTCATATCTGTCCAAAATCTACTATCTACAAAACTGTCTTGAGAATTCTATGCTAAAACAACAACAGTTGTAGCATAAAACCCCAGCTGACAACTGTTAATCTTAGTGTTTTTGTACCAGAAAAAAATATCATTAAAAGTATAAGGCATGCTGAAATATTGTGGAAGAGGTTCTAAGGCCCACGGTGCCATCGATATTTTCTATCACTTACAATATTTAGTCAACACGTTCCTCGATTTTGTCAAAGTATTTTTAATATAATTTTTAAATAACTTCCCAGGGTAAAAAAAAAAAATTATTTATATACCATCTGATCAAAAATGACCCAGACTGGTCCATTTACACTGCGTGCCAAAACCATATTTCTTCTCCATATGTACATTAGTGTGTGTTTACGTTGTGAACAGTTTGTCAGGCGCTTTTTAATATGAAAAAATGTGGAAAACGGTTGGCCTCAAGGGCCATCCCTGCAACTTCCCTCTAATTTCATACGCTAACGTTCAAATTTCGCTTTTTTCACTGCTTTTGAGCTCTTCGAAATTTTTCGTTTTCGATATCTCGCAAGTAAATCAACCGATTTTGACCCGGTTTGCGGCAAACGATGTGTTTTTGCAAGGTTTAGAACTGATTAGTTTTTGGTCGGTCAAGTCGTTTGGAAGAAATTCGAAAAAAACGATTTTTCAAAATTTCAAAATTCAAAATATTTTTGAGATTTCTCAAAATCTACTGGTCCGATTAGGTCCAAACTCACACGAAATTCAAGTGCAATGAAACCCTTTGGAATGCCGTTTAGTTTATTCAGATCGGTTGAGCCGTTTAAAAGTTATAAGAGGGTCACATACATCCACACACACACACATACATACAGACATACGGACATCATCGTAGAAATGTTCGGGGAACCTTCCTCGACCCTCAAAACGTCGAGATCTGTTGAGAATTCGATTTTTGCAAAATGGGGTGAAACCAATATCTTCCCGATTTTTAGAAAATTTTCAATTTTCTTAGCGGGAAGTTAAAAAAAAATGGACACCGAGTTTGCCTGAAATTTAGTGTTTCCAATGAAATCGTGGCTAGACGATAATATCGAAAAAGCTAAGGAAACAGTGCTTGATAATCCTCCTGTTGCCATTAGATAGCAGATGATCTCAACATCTCTTATGGGTTGACTCAACACATTTTGGTTAATGTTTTGGGTATATAGCATGCCATTGCTAGACTTATACCAAGACACCTGAATCTTTTACAAAAACGACGTCGAGTAGCGGTCGCAAAAGAAATGCTGGACAAAGTAGCTGCGGACCCTACATTCAGCAAACCCATCATTACTGATAGCAATAGAAAATGTAGTTTTTGTTTGTCAGTCCGGGTTAAAATTGATAAGATGGTATATTCATCCCGATTCCGTAAGTAACGCATTGTATCTCGACTATACAGGGGCGAATGCCAGTTAACGCGTACATCGCCTTTTTTAGCGCTTATCTTAACTATTATATTATATTAAAAGCTAGTATAAATATATATATACATAAAAATACTTATGTATATACATATGTATTTTACTTACACAATGTAGATTCTGTTACAATTGCCAACTAACCGTTTATGAAAAGCCGACATCCTTGCGCCACCAATGCAGTGCTGTCTTATTTGTACTTGCTGCTGATAAGAAATATCTATGACTACGCACCCGCTAGTCAAGTAAGCAAGCAAGCTAACAAAAAAAGAAGAAACTATTCAAGGCATAATAGCAAACTGTGTATATTGTGTAACTTGTGTAAGGGTTTCTCGAAGAAACTGTGCTACTTTTGTATGTGCGCTTGTTTTTGCTGCCCATCATCTTTCGTTGGTGTCTGTGTGTGTGTGTGTATGTACTTTGGGTTTATTCATTTCACGCAGATTACTTAGATTAGCTGAAATTCACTTCAGAATTTATGTGGCATCGCAGTAATTGTGCCGCATTTGCTGCCGCCGCCGCTACTGCTCAGTTTTCGTTGCCTACTATTAGGCGTGTGCCAGAACGGAGGGTTAAATTAGATTGCCCTTTAGCTGCCATGCTTTATTTGTTCTCTTATTAAATAGCTTAACTGGCTGGCTGACTGGCAGCGCCCGCAGTTCCAGCCGCCGACCAATTGTTGGCGCTTTTGTTCGTTCAGTCCATTCAATGTTGCCTGGCGTCGTTGATGCTTAACGTTGTTGCTTATGAATTGCTGCAAGTTGTTTTTTTATTGCTAATAAGATTTTTTACATCATACACCCTGGCATGTGCTTCCCCCATTCAACCCCGTCCGTTGTGTAGCTTGGAGATGCTCACTTGCATACCAAAATTTAACATATTTTTTGTTTTTGCTTGTGGTTTTTTTTTCTGCTGCACGCTATGTGCCATAAAAGAGCTATATAAATTTAGTGGGGCACCTCGTTGGTTAAAAGCAACTGAACTTTTTTTTT